AAGGCTGAAGCCATAGAGGAGTTTGTGATAACCTAGCTTTTTGCGGCCTTTCAAGGTGGTGGTGTACTTACGTGCGTGGTTGGCTTTGAAGTTAAGACCGTATCAGTTGTCTTAATTTCGATTGTACTAATTGGCTGGGGCTTAATGACCATTACCCTTAGCTGTCTTGTCTTCATAGGTAAAGTTTTAATTAAAATGTATTTATATCGGGCCCAATTACCGAGGCAATGATCAGTATCAAGCTATTGAACGTAATCCTGATTGGCAGTATACTAATTGTTATCATATTAGTAAGGGCTAATTACCCTGGTTTTACTTTGCTTGTTCATGAATAACGTTAATTAGCTCACGTTAATTAGAATAGTTTAGTTAGCTCATCAACTAATGGCATGCTTTAGTTGGCCCGGTTCTAGCTTTACACGACTTCATTAGCAAGGTCTTCTTAAAATGTGGCCTAATTACCTCGGCTTTACCATGACTTGGCGTAATTAGTTTCGTAATAGCATGTCCTGCACCAAGAAGTCAAGCATACTATCCAGAATGAAAAATTTCAGCATATGTCCATCCATATGGAGGGAATGATGATTAGGGGTGAAGCTTCGGAGGGTTTATCGTGAATGATTATGAGTGAGGCGAAGCTTCGGAGGGTTTATGGGTATAAACTGTGAACCATCTGTCTGTCTGTCCATTCGTCCGTCCGTCCGCACCTTCTGAGTGAATCATCGAACTAGGCGGTCACGTCCCACGTGCTAGGAGGAAAAGACCCGCGGTTTTAGGATCTTCGCCTCTAATACCTAATTAACCAGCCGCACATGCTCGGGTGCTAGCGGGCGACTGAAAACAAAAACGACGCGCACTGGCTGAGCAGCGCACTAGAATGTACAGGCTGACCATGATGATTAACAAGTGGCCTCGGGCTTAGCTGTGGTCGCGATGTTATGAGATGCTCGGCCGGTACTGATCTGAGGGGCCACCGTGCTAATTATTCTAAAGCAGACTTAGTGCAGGCATTAAGAGCTTCAAAATGAATTTAAACACCCCGTGCCTCTAAAAAATATCGTCCCGAAATGTTTCTGACACTTATTGCATGGGTGCACTTCTGCATTGAGTGTAACGACACAAATATGAAAGAAGATGCCTCTGGTTTGAAAACACCGCCCAACTTAGTCGACCGTCCTTGACGGATGACTGGTTTCATTGTAACCAATGAAATGCAGCGCGCTGAGGGGTGGATTTGACTTTTTCGTACTGTTGACGTGTCGTCAGAGCTCGGGAAGGTGCCGAGTTTCGCGAAACTCGGCCGATTCTGCATAGCGCCCCAAGACGTACAGCCATCAGCACCTTTAGCACGAATGCTCCGCCGCTTGTACTGCAGCAGTTTATTTGACGCTGACACAACGTACGTTTGGGTCCCGTTGCCAAGATCCTAATCTTACACGCCGACGTACTATCCAAGCGTACAGAGGTATTAACTCGGCAAAAGCGCCCAGCACTTTGCGGCTGGGATCAATCAAACTAGCCCTGGCCACGCACCGAAGTGCTCGTGCGTGCTATGTGTTAGGAAAAAGTTGTTAACGATTAAGAGTACCTGGTACTCTAGTATGGGAGAGCAAAAAAGCCGTCCCGTAGGCCTAATTTAACCTCCTTGGTCTTCATTAAGCCGCACGAAATTAAACGAAACAGAAAGGTTCTCAAGTGCTCGTGTTTATAGGTGCTGACGGCTGCATATTCACTTGACTGTTTATTTAGCCCTTTCGCCTATGCCTAGCTTCATCTGCCCCCGTTATGATACAGATCCGCAAAGTTTGTCAGTGCTTCCTTTTGGGAAACTTCAACGTCCTGGTAAACTTCATTCAATATTCTGACACTGCTGCACAGCCAAGCAAAATATCATGAACAGTAACTACGAACTTTTATTAATTATTATGCATATTATTTATATCGCTAACGAACAGTAGTAATAGACTTTTATTCAGCCACAATTTACAGGCTGAGCATTTCGACCGCCTGTGCGACCAGTCGACGCTGTTCTTCTTCTCCTTCGGCGCCGATCCAGTCGAGCCAGGAGGTGATGGAAAGGGATAGGGTAGGGTAATAGCTGGATTGCTGAGCAGTTAGGCAGTAAAACAGGCAGTGTGACAGATCGGCATATGGGAAGGGGACAGTACTTGTGGTATGAGCAGGAAATCGGCTAGCGGCACTATCTGCCACAGCATGGCAGGTGCACCGGCAAGCGATTTCAAGACAAGCGATTCTGAGAAGCGCCCTAAGAATGTAGATTCCCCAGATACCAAGTACCATAGGATTTTCTCACAATCATACCTAGAGAGAAGTCTGGCGCAAGTGAGCTGCTGGATGCAAGGGAATGACGGGATACGTGAGCTTCGAACTTGACTCAGATTTGTATACCTCAAGGACACGTCTGGCTTCACGCTAAAATGATTGATTTTTTTACTAAAAGAGCACGTAATAGGCTATTTATCTTGTCATTGCACAGAAGGGTGTCGCATTTAACACTAGAACCTTCTACGTTGATGTACAATTTGACGAAGCGTAAGAAGTAACCAACGGCCGCTAAACTTAGCAGGCAGACGACAAAGCGAGCGTTCTTTTCGTCATGTTTATGTTGTCTGTTTCTTTCCTTCGCCATTTGGTTGTGCCGTCAAGGTGAGTGGACTTTTATTTTAGAATATAATACGCGTGACTGAGATCCGCTTATAAACGTTTTGTTTTATAGAGGCTTTATTTACGCTGGCGTATTCACTTTTGAGCCGAAGCCTCGCTCAACACCAGCCGACACAAGCCTCGCAGACACGTATACCGTCATTCCCAGCACTTCAACATCGCCCCTTAAGAAATTCGCATAGACGGTGGCACCACACTTCCCTCTAGGTATTTGTGAGAAACTCTATGCTAAATGTTATACCGACATGCACAAAAAGCAAGCAAAAAATGGGCCCCGTATCTGCAACTGTGTTGCAGATCTGCAACTGTGTCTACTTGTTAATAATAAAAGTTTATTCTCTCTCTCTCTCTCTCTCTCTCTCTCGTCGAAAGATGGAAGTCTTGCGTGTGCACAGAGTGAGCAAAACATTTATTTGATGTTCTGCACAAGAAAATCAGTGAATGGTATTCTGGAGGCGCTGCGTTTGAGTGCCTCGAGCGTGCAGCGGAGGCGCACGAGCGAATCAAGGCCCGTCACACGTGAGACATGGGCGTTATCTGGCAGTTTTCTAGGAAAACGAAGTGCGCCCGTCTCAGAGGTGGTAAGGTGTACAACGCAAGGCGACGGGTAGGTGCCACTACCGTGCCGTCTTAGCAAAGCGTTGGAAACACTCGCCTTTTCGTGCAAGCGTTGCATGGTCAGCGCAGCGTGATAAATGTGACAGTCCTTGAAACTACTTATGGATGCCTTTTCTAGTAAAATACGCACATACAGAATATGTACGTATTGTTATGGCACCTAAATATGCTCAATAATTGCTTTTTGTTTGACAATCGCACAAGTATGAACGCTGAATCTTGAGCAACATTGGCGGGTGCTGCGGATGGGGTCGGCCGTTTGGTGTATCGGCTGGTGCCGTTCAGAGTACCCGATACCGTTAAAGGAAGACAAACAGACAAATTTACAGACAAACAGACCAAAACTTTTGCGTCGAAGGTCCCCAAGAAAGACTATCGTCTTTAATATAACCACAGCGTATCCACGGAGTGAATGATGATGCGTGGGGCGAAGCTTCGGGGAGAGAGAGAGAGAAACAACATTTATTCACGCATCCGGCGTGCGGGAAGTCACCAGCCACGCAGGGCGCGGGTATTCCCTATCTGAAGACTATGGCTAATAGTCCTATAGTCCCAGGGCCTAGATCTTGAGGATGTGCTCCGGCTAGGCGTTGGATACTCGGGCTCCGCCGCTCCCGTTGTCCGGGGCGTCGGTTCCCTTTCTCCTCTGCTTTGCCAGGGCCTCCTCAAGCCGCTGTATGGCCCTTCGTTGCGTGGTTGAGTCTTCGGAGCGTATCCATGCTCCCACCTCTTCGGGATACGTGGCGTCCTGGCACTGCCCATTCCCATTATTCACACTACTGTTACACACGCGCCACATGATGTGGCGGAGGGTGGCTAGTTCACGTTTGCACACGCTACACTTTGCGTCCACAAACATGTCGGGGCATAGGTGCCGGGCCAATGCTGGCATTAGCACGCATTCTGTTTTCATTTGTCGGAGCTTCACTGCTTCCGCACGTGACAGTTCACGATGCGGGGGCGGAAAGGCTCTCCTGGTCTCTCTGTATGCCGCCAGGATCCCTCTGTAGTCGGTGAGGGGATCGAGGTCTTCTTCTCGTTCTTCACCGCTGTTTTGGGGGGACGGGCTGCCGTGGTCCGGCACGTAATGAAATCACGGGCCACAGCGTCCGCCTCCTCGTTGCGGTTCTCGTTGTCGGGAGCCAGTTGTTGCCCCATGTGGGCTGGGAACCATTTGAGGGCGATGGTTGGCCCTGCAGCGGCGCCGCGAGAAGCCCGCGAAGCCGCGATGGACCTCACTAGCCGGTCCGTGCCCCGCCAAACAATGTCTCGGGCAAAATTGTTGATTGCCTGCTTTGAGTCGCTTAGCACCGTGCGCGTGCCCGGCCTACCTGTGGCCAGGGCTATCACCGCCTCCTCTGCCTGGCCGGCTGTTCGGGCGCACACGGTGCTTGCTGTTAGTAGTTTATCGGTAGTATAGCGCTGACCACCACTGCTGCGAAGGCGTTGCGTCTTCCCGGATACCTTGCGGCGTCCACGTAGACTGTGTCCTCGTCTCTCTGATGTTGACAAGCCAGCGCCGCTGCTCTCGCCGCTTACCTGCCCGCATCCCTTTCCGGGTCCGTGTTCTTTGGCAGCAGGCAGACGATGATCTTCCTCGCTGCCTCGTCGCTCAGGGGCACTTGTTCTTCTAGCTCCCCGTCCGGTCCTGCTCCCGGGCGTTCTCCAGGAGGTAGTAATCCCACCCGATCGAGTAATCATCTGCCGGCGACTGTGTTGCTCAGGCGGCTCGGCTGCGATGCTCTCTCAGCCTCGCTGATCTCTGAGATTGTGCTGTGTGCTCCCAGAGACAGCAAGTCCGTTGTCTTTGTGCCTTGTAGGAGCCCAAGAGCCCCCGCGTAAGCCTTCCGGATAGCGGCGTCGATCTTGGCTCGTTCCGCGCCGGTCCAGCGGTGGAAGGCCCCCGCATATGCCGCGTGGCTTATAACGAAAGCCTGCAGCAGACGCAGGAGCCCCCTCTCTTTCATGCCCCGGTAGCGGGACAACACTCGCTTGACCAGGCGCGCTGCGACGCCCATCTTGGTTGTGACGTTCTTGACCGCCGTGGCGTTAGTTTGGGTGCCGTCCACGAACATTCCCAGGACACGAAGCCCTGGGACATGCGGGATCTGCATACTGTCACTGGTGCGCACGATGATGTTCTCGGCCGCCTCTCGACTTGCCTTCTTTCTGTGCCTCCCAGGTGGTGGCAGGATGAGTAGCTGTGATTTTTGTGGCGAACTCCGCAAGCCTGTGCCCGAGAGCGCGGACTCCACGGCGTCCACCACCGCCTGCAGGCCCGCCTCGATGTCTCCTTCGCTTCCACCCGTGGCACTAGATGGTTACGTCGTCGGCGTAGAGGCAGTGTCAGATCCCCGGGCCCAGCGCCTCCAGACGCCTGGCCACCTCGATCATGACGATGTTAAACAGGAACGGGGAGATGACCGAGCCCTGTGAGGTCCCGACACTGCCCAGCTCTCGTTCTTCGAGCTTCGTTCCTCCCACCTTCCAGCCTGGCCGTGCGGCGAGAGAGGAAGGCTCTGATGTAGTTGTATGATCTTGCGCCCAGCCCCAGGTGGGACACCTGAGCCAGGACCGCTGAGTGCCTAACGTTGTCAAAGGCGCTCTGCAGATCCAGGCCCAAGATCGCTCGGTTGTCATTCTTTGGAGTCCCGGCCGGTGGGTCAAGGACTTCCTTTGGATCAGGAGCATGGCAGTCTTGCGTTCCCAACTTAGCCCGGAAGCCAAGCATTGAGTCCGGGTAGACATTGTGCGCTTCCAGGTAACGGTTCCACCGGGTGTTAAGGACGTGCTCCAGCACCTTGCCCACGCAGGACGTGAGCGAAATAGGACGCAGGCCCTCTATGCCGGGTGGCTTGTTTGGTTTTGGTAGCAGGATCGTCTTTGCTGTCTTCCAGGCCTTGGGCAGTTTGCCGTTACGCCAGCATTCGTTGTAGTAGCGTGTCAGTGATGTGATGGCTGAGTCGCTCAGGTTGCGTAGAGCTTTGTTAGTACCTCTGTCGGGTCTGGCTGCCTAACGACAGTTCACGTCCTGCACCACCTGCCTCACTTCCCATTCCTCTAGATCTCGGTCGAGGTGGGTGTTCGGCTGGCCGGCGTAGTCTGGGTGGTCTTCGCGACTGGTGATGGGGAGGTAGCGCTCGTTGAGTCGCTTGAACATCTCTCTTCGCGCAGTTGACGAGCGGTGGTGTGTAAGATTTGGGTCATGCGTGTACGTTGGTATTCGCAGCTCTTGGTCTCATCCATCAGTTGCCTGACAGGTATACCGTGAATCGTCCATCCGTCCGTCTGCTGGTCGCGTCTGCCTGTCCGCCCATCTGTCCGCATGTTCGTCTCCGTCTGTCTGTCTGTCTGTCTTTCTGTCTGTCTGTCTGTCTGTCTGTCTGTCTGTCTGTCTGTCTGTCTGTCTGTCTGTCTGTATGTCTGTCTGTCTGTCCGCCCATCTGTCCATATGTTCGTCTCCTTCTGTCTGTCTGTCTCTCTGTCTGCATGTCTGTCTGTCTGTCTGTCTGTCTGTCCGCCCGTCTGTCCGTATGTTCGTCTCCTTCTGTGTGCCTGCCTGTCAGTCCACCCGTCCATCTAATGAACACTCCAAATACCACCATGTCACATCTTTTCATCATATATTCATCATATAGAAGTACCACAATCTAGCAGAAATTCAAAAGCTAAACTAGCGTCGGCTACCTACAACTACATACATCGAGCATGCACGACCCTAAAAGACACGGCATAGTCATTCGATTGACCACAGGCTTTCACCGAACACACTTTAAGGTTTACGAAGTGGGTTTCAATTTTTATGAGGTGTACACACCATGCACTGTACTGACGCACCGCCTTGCGGCCGTTAGATCAGACAGTCGTTTAAAGCCCGAGCACAACCGAACGCTCTCCCAATGCCCGCTAGCACGTACTTTATCGGAATCAAGAACGGCTGCTGCAGTCGATTGTACCAACATGCTGTGTACACGTCGTGTCCTGTGGGAACGACATTTTACTGTTTCTCGACTCGTCTCCGCTTTATTGGGCAGTGAAATAAATGGATCATGGCTGTGCAACATAATAAGTGTTTGGTTTCCGCACCCTCGGCCAATTCGCGTTCTGCCACTGCATGCTTGAATTTGTCTAACACACCACCTCTGCAGGTGCAATGATCTTGCGTGACGTTTCTGCTGCTATAGAGCTGGTGAAAAAAAAACGTATACAAGGCATTTAAATTCAGCTCAAGGCCGGTGGAGCGTCTTAATGGATCGTAATATTTATTGACTCGCCGTCTACCCTTCGCAGTTTTTAGGAATGCAGTGCGAGGTCACTTGGTGCTTTGCTAGGTTGATGGGAACATTAGTTAAGAGGCGAATAAAGTTACGTAGCATATTACCGTAGCAGCGCTATGCGCACTCGGATATGATCAAGCAAATAAGTCGGTTGGTTGGCTGGTTGTTCTCCTAAAGTGGCACTACCCACAATGAGGGATCGTTCATGAAATGAGCGGTGCCTTGTGATATAAATTAATTCGTTTAATTTCAAAATGTTTAGCAATATATCGTCTTCGAAATAGCTAACTAGCTTAATTTACAAAAAAAAAGATCCAACGTTGATGAAAAATTAGCCTGATTTAAATAACTTTAGCATTCAATTCGTTTCGTTTCGCGTAGTAAAATGCATATATGACACCACTAACGGTCCTGTCACTAAAACCCAGGGCTGAAGGAAAGAACCAACGGAAATGATAATTGGAATCCCTTCCTTGGGAGTGGTTCATCCAGAAGTCTTTTTTCTTTGATTGGTAAACAATGTGCATGTCGTAGAGTAGCAGATCTACCAGGTACAAAACGAAGCTTTGCGAATGCTGTAGCGGCCGATGTATATGTCAGTAGCGGCGGATGTATATGTGAGTGTATGTTTCGCAGATATAAACATCGGAAACATAAGCAACATAAAGAATGCAAGAGGTTGTGAATAAGAGAGATGTGGTGGTGGTTGAAGTGGCCATGCCGTCATCGTCGCCGCTTTACACGGTGAATTGAAAGACGAAACGGGGCTGCGGCATCCTCTCTGGCCGAAATCGTAGCTCGTTCTCTTTCTTCCCTGCACCTCAAGCTCTTAGTATGAGCGGCGCGAACGGCGAGGTTAAGCTTATGATAATATTTTGTGACGATGGTGCCGTGACCATTTCAAGCAAATTACTTCGCGAGACTCAGAGTCGGTGGCGGGAGATCACCGTGGCATCAAGCCGAGCCCACCGCCCGGCCCTCTCACCATGATTTTCACTGCGAGTGGCCACGGAGCCATCAATGTTCTGAGTATTTTGCGAGTACGCGGGCAGTGGGCACGCTTCAATAATATACTCGAAGTAAAAGAATAACAGCTCATCACGACCGCTACGGAGTCAGCATGTTGCCTTACGCACACGCGCATTTAGTCGTCAGTACTGACGACGGGCAGTAAGACCCTCACTAACGCAGAAAACGTGGCCACTTCAATATTAATAATAACACTAATTTATTTATTCTTACTTGTGCATATTGTACACATCCATGTCATGTTACGTGCCGCCGAGATGAGTCAAAAGGAAACAAACATGACTGTTTCACAACCCGGTTCGAGGAAATAAGAACACGAAGCAATAGTGCAGTCAGCAAGAAGCGTTGCAGGTTTTCCCATTTATTTATGGTGGCGTCGCGGAAGCATGTCCCTTTACGATACCTTTAAATCCTGTTAGAAAAATTACCGCACGGGCCACGGGTACTTGTGTCACCATATATGGCGGCACAAGCGCCCATGGCAACCATACCAATAAAAGCAATGAGCAATCAGCTATCAAAGCAATGATGCGCTGCTGTCTGCTAAAATACAGTGGGTGGCTAAAAGTCGCAACGTTGTGAGCCCGCCGCACCACAAGTGGTGCAGCGCGCGGCTTTCAGGCGCCCCCTATGGGTCTCTAACAGAGGGTTACACGCGTATCTAAGGATTGGCAGTCATTGTCTGTTAGTTCTCATCATAGGCCTGTCCACGGTTCCCTTTCAGGGGGCGGGCTCTCTCTTGAGTCAATAAATGGGGCAGTCTTCACCCCCCTCTTTTAGGTGATTAGGGGGCGGCCTCACCCTGCCTCCTCCCGCCCGGGGTGCACACGCCTATGGTTTTCATTACTATTTCATCAAACAAAGGAAAACGAGCCCTTCAATTTCTACTTCTTATCTCGACTCTAACTGATGATAGATACACTGTAAGGTTTTGATTGATTGATACGTGCGGTTTAACGTCCCAAAACCACCACATGATTATGAGAGACGCCGTTGTGGAGGGCTCCGGAAATTTTGACCACCTGGGGCTCTTTAACGTGCACCCAAATCTGAGCACACGGGCGTACAACATTTCCGCCTCCATCGGAAATGCAGCCGCTGCAGCCGTGGCTCGATACCGCGACCTGCGGGTCAGCAGCCGAGTACCATAGCCACTAGACCACCGCGGCGGGGCCTCAGTAAGTTTTCACGTGAACACTAGACAACAGACATTAGAGACGACGTAGACGCATTTGTATCTGGACTTGTGTATGTGCTAAACGCCATTATGACTGAAGTAAATTAAATGAACTTAAAGGCTGGCTTCTTCCGACTCGCCTAACAAGCAACATCGTTGGGTAAAAAGAAAATCAAGTACTTGCGCCAGTATCAACGTTATTTCTTACTAAATTTTGAGATATTGCTTTTTTAAACAATATAATTATGAAACGCGATGACGTGGTAAATGTCCGGCTTAATGTTTATCACCTTGGGTTCCCACCTAGATCAAACTACGTCGAAGCTTTTTTGGGGGCAAAGCTTTTTACGCCGTGGGTCATACGTACCGCGTCGTCGTAGTAGCCAGTTTTCAAGGTCATAAAATTGCATTGCATGTCAGTAAAAACAGTCTCACAGCATATCCGTGGAGTGAATAATAATGAGTGGGGCGAAGCGTGCATCAGTCTTACGGTGCTTCCGTGCATCCATCCATCTGTTCGTGCTTCCGTCTATGCATCCGTCCATGCGTCCGTTCGTCCGCATGTCTCTCTGTCCGTCTGTCTGTACTCACGGACGCTTCGCCCAACTCATCATCGTTCACTCCTGAATATGCTGTGATTTTTTTGTTTGGCCACCAAGTTGCGGCCTCGTGGCAGACAAGAGAACCCACCCTCATGCTTCGTAGCACCACAGCTGTTGGGCCACTTCAGTGGATAGTATTTCCATCCCGTAAACACATTGTGCACAGCCATACATAGGTCCAGCACCATGTGCGTCACAAGCTAGACACACTTTTTTTTTCCATTGGTATTCACATTACAGAAAACTAAGCAAAGTATTTTGGTTCCATATGCTCACATACTAGTAAGGAAACAATCTTTCGGCATACCTAAATAAGTCGCCAGGCAGTAGCAACAGTAATAAAAAGACGATGAAACCAGTAGGCCTACATATATTACATGTTTCGATTTTACCAAGGATAACTGAATCGTGTGGTTGACTAACTGCGACGCAGAGCGAATCGGGCCATCAGAAACATTGTATTAGAGGGCTTCGGACAATGCCGCCGACCAGCAGGTGTTAGTACTTAAAGTACTCTGGCATCGCACAGTAGACAGCGCCTTTAGCACGTCGCCTGCATTGAAATGCGAGAGCCCATTATTTTCAAGGGCAGCAGCCGAGCATGTAAACACCGACCCACCGCTTCTGCCGACCCTACGTTTGCAATGAACTTTCCGACACCCTTTTCACACCCGCTTGCACACCCTTTTGACACCCACTTGCTACGTTCGCGCGAAACTCTGTTTATACGTGACACGTGCTACCGGCAGCCAACGTTTGTCTTGGGCAGCGTGCGAAGACGTGCTGCATTGTGCACCGTTAAGGTCCACAGCTGTGCGGGTGGCTAACAACGGCCATAGCTGCTGAGTAAAAATAACGGGCAAGCTCCGCTCGACCAACTTAGCGAGCCGCAACCAACGGACACGCAATATAATCCGACGCTGGTGCCAAATATTTCGAAGAGCGTACCGAGAATATCCTTACTATTACGTTTTATAGAGACTGTCACTGTTTGCTGCCTATACTTGGTACTCAGTAGGTTAGCTGCGAATTAAAACACACACAAAAGCGACGAACACGAAGATAGCGTGAGCGGGGCTTCCAAATAAATTAGCAACAACCACTACGATTCATTTGGACTACCCGCTCGTCTTGTCTTTGTGTTTCTCCCTTTCATGTGTGGTGTAATTCGCGGCTAAGTTACGTCTTTAAATTATTTGATGGGTTGCGTTTGTTTCACCACACTACTACTGTTATTGCGGCGAAGCACTCACGTTGCAGGTGCAATCGATGCCGAAAACTGAGCAAAATATTGTCAGAAAAAAAAATACAAGCGTATATACCCGCTCAACGGCTGGCTTCACTACATTGAAATACTGAAAGCATTTTCTTTGTTTCCACATGTTTTTGTTGCGGCAAACAAACAAGCACGCATTCATATTTCGTGGTGATCTAGTGGCTAGGGTACTCGACTGCTGACCCGCAGGATCGAATCCCGGCTGTGGCGGCTGCATTTTCGACGGAGGCGGAAGAGTTGTAGGCCCGTGAGCTCAGATTTGAGTGCGCGTTAAAGAACCCCAGGTGGTCGAAATTTCCGGAGCTCTCCACTACGGCGTCTCTCATAATCATATATTGTGGTTTTGGGACGTTAAGCCCCACATGTCAATCAATCACTTTTTACGCCCATTTAGTGCATTGCGCTCGTTTACCATGCACTACATTATCAAAGACGTGACAAACACTGTATATATTTGCATATTAAATTTTATTCGTAAGTGGATATCACAACTCTGAACATCCAAGTAAATATTGCAAGGGTACATATTTTTTCCTGTTCGACTGTATAACTTTTCTCAATGTGTAAAAAAATAATTTTTTACAGGGCATACGTTCAAGAGGACAAGAGCTTGCACATCAAGAATGTCGCTCCTGCGGATGATGGCATATACGTTTGCGAGTCAGAAAACATTGTTGGGTCAGCTTCTGCTTCAGCGACACTCACAGTGCATTGTGAGTTTTATCTTCTTATAATTTAGTTGGACGTTTCCTCGCTTTATTACTCATATGTATGTTTTTTGTGTCTATCTTCCGATTATGAATACATACAATGCACTATAAGTATCAATAAATGAATGAAAGAGTACGTTTATACACCACTAATGGGTGATTCTACATAAGATCGAACAAAGCATGGCTGGTCGACCTCCTAAATTTATTTCAAAATGTCATATATTGCTGCCTGACGAGTGGGAAAAAGGGATACACAATTGGTTTTGCCGGAAAAACTTTTTTCGAAGCACAGCTTTTTTTTTAATTTGGCGTTGAGTCCCACAAAATATGTGTAAGCTACGTGCCTCAAATATGTTTGGCTAAGTATAAGTGTACTCGCGCTTATGATTATTTATTTTTCGCCTCTCTGGGTATTGTAGATGTCTTCATAAAAAACCTCGAATTAGACCCCAAAAATATCTTTTTACCGACTTTACTGGCATTTATCTCAAAGGGGGCCTGTGACTGAAAATTCCGCATTACTTTCTCAGCATGCCTATTTATAAAACTGCAAAAGCTTATATCAATAACACTTTTCAATAAGAAGATACAATCACGCTAACGTCAAAAACAGCATGCAAGGAAACTCCTGACGACTAAAAAAAACATTTTTATATTTCTGAACTTTCCCCACTTATTCTTTTGCACATCAGCTTTCACAATCAACAAAAACATGTTGCACAGTGTGGCTTCACTTGCAGTTACGTCAAATAATGGCCTTGTGCAAGGATAGACAATTGTAGATCGAGCTTCCTGCTCGCTAAGCAAGGAATGCAGACCCATATTTCAGTTTTTTTAAAAGGCAATCACGACTAAAATAGCTGCCGGTTGTACTGGGTACATCTATTTTGGAATGATCTATCCATCTATCTATCTATCTATCTATCTATCTATCTATCTATATATCTATCTATCTATCTATCTATCTATCTATCTATCTATCTATCTATCTATCTATCTATCTATCTATCTATCTATCTGTCTGTCTGTCTGTCTGTCTGTCTGTCTGTCTGTCTGTCTGTCTGTCTGTCTGTCTGTCTGTCTGTCTATCTGTCTGTCTGTCTGTCTGTCTGTCTGTCTGTCTGTCTGTCTGTCTGTCTATCTGTCTATCTAGCTATCTATCTATCTAAAGTAATATCTGTGGTCATGCAGAGGTGATGGTGATGAAAGCTTTACTTGGGTCCTGTTTATTATGCTTCCATTGTTTTCGCCCAGCCCGTCCAGCATTCCGCCTCACTCCCCAGGACCAGAAAGTGGGGCTTAACGGTGTCGCCAAGTTTGACTGTCTGGCGACAGGCAACCCCCCGCCCTCCGTGTTCTGGACCCGGGAAGGCAACCAGGTACCGCGTCACTTTTGACTTACACATTTTTCTAATGCCATAAACGCTATATATACGTGTATGATATACCTATGCGCGACCCCCTCAAAAGACTCTAAAGTGTTTGCGTGCAACGCTCCCGTAATTATTTTCGGTATATAAGTAGCACAAGGTGGGGGGGGGGGGTGTGATTCTTTAAGGGAAAAAAGGAGAAAAGGCGGAAACGTAAGGAGAAAGGTTGTGGAGTACACGATAACTGTCTCTCATGTGAGGACACCTCAACCAATACACTCACGAGGGAACGTATAATATAAGAGACAGAGTGAAGAAAAGAAAATAGACTGGGGTGAAATCAAGCAGGAAAAAAGGGAAACTAGCGTGATGAGAGGAGCACAATTATAGGCATGTGCACACCAAGGGGAGGGGCGGTAGCCCCGCTCCCCTATAGTCACCTAAAAAGGATGCGCAAAGTCTGGAGTTCCATACATTCACTTATACTATCGAGGGGGGGGGTGCTTTGAGACGAACCGTCCTCCCCCTTCCTGAAGGGGAACCCTGTGCACGATTATGGTCGAAATTAATCAAGATTCGACTCATTGCAGGTGCTGATGTTTCCGGGCAAGTCACACGGCCGCTTTTCGGTCAGTCACGAGGGCACGCTCACCATCACAGGGGTGCGCAAGGAAGACCGAGGCTACTACGTATGTTCCGCTCTGTCCGTGATCGGTTCGAGCATGGCCAAGGGTCACCTGGAGATCACCGCGATTGCCGACCTTCCTCCGCCCATTATACGACTAGGGCCGGCCAATCAGACACTGCCTGTCCACACGGCCGCCCAACTACCGTGCGAGGCGGCCGGCACACCCAAGCCTGTCGTGCAGTGGCTGTACAATGGTTCTCCCCTGAACTCCGAAGATCGACCTCGATTCACGTTGCTCGAGTCTGGCATGCTGCAGATACAAGGTCAGCAGTTGGCGCCTTATATTAACAGCCTCACATTGTGCTTAAGAATATTAAGGGATTAGCAAGTTGCCTCTTGTAGAGCACTAAAGGCTTCTGAATATGTACCACGTAATATTCACCATGAATACGTGTTTTTTGTATATGCCGCGGCCGTTTTGTTCTCTGTAAAGCCAAAGTGCAACAAGGTCCTATTACGACCCACGTGGTGCACGCTGTGGGGTGTAAACTTCGCATGGTATTGGGGCATTGATTTCAGTGCACTGAAAAGGTTGAAAAGAAGGGGTGAGAACTCGTTGTGCGAGAAAAGGGCAGGTGTGGCTCAAGGTGAGTGAGCCTTCAGATTGAGCGCGAGGCTCCTTCTCTGAAGTGGAACACAAAATGTTCAAGAGGCTCCGCTCAGATCACCGAAGAGAGGGACCCGGTCACTTCCGTCACTCAAAAGATAGTCCCTCTCATGGACTCGGCAATGTTCTTCGAAGTCGGTGCCACCGGCAGTCGGACTTACGACGTCACTATGAAGGGCTCACTCATTGGTGCAGGTTTGTGTGCACCCGCCTTCAAGCAGGAACTCTAGCGGACTTCTAAAGAAGTCGAGCTTGAGCACTGTTCAGTGCTGCGGTGGTCGCAACGACTAAGTGAAAGAGTGGCCGCATCTCACAATGGCAGGTACTGTAAGTAAAGTCAGTGCGAACAGAAAGACTTGGTCGCTTCGAGGGCTCTGTACTCGTGGGCCTAATGTGATTAGAAGATGTATTAGCTCAATACTTAGGCGATGTATTCAAACTAAAGGCAGTACAATATGTGTTTGCTCACTTATCACGCGTTTTGAAAGGCCGTGCTGGTCACCGAGTGAAATTCGCTCGTGTTTTCACGTGAACGTAGAAAACCACTGCTTGTAATTCAATTAGTGAGCCATTTAGTGCTCCCTACTTTATAGAAGCTCATCAAAATAATCAACCTTACTTTGTGTATTTACTTTGTATACTGCTTCATGTGTAAGCCACAAAGGTGATTTTTGTTTGTCTCCCACACCTCAACGCTCTTCATTACACGTGTAAATAGTCATATATCTGGAAGTTCGATGCCTTGTATGCCCGAATGACATCGCAGAACAATACTGCGTACTTATTTTGTTTTATTTGAACTTTGGTAAATCAGCCAATGACCGCTTTGCTCAACAGGCTTGTCGAGCAAACTTTTGAATTAATGTACTCTGCTGACAACTCTAGGGACGAGTGTTTTTATCTACACGGCCTTCATGAAAGTGTTGGTATATATAATGTGTTGCATGAATTCAATCGTGTGAATAGATGTTACATAATGTTAAATGATTTCAGTGTCGTGAATAGTTACTTTTATTTTATATGATCTGTAGTCACGGCAGTGCTTCTGCGTGATTTTTACTCATGTGACTAGTTGTAATATGGCGTTAAATGATTCTAGTAAGGTGGCTAGATGTTACGTGATTTTTATTCCCGTGACTAGTAACAAGATTTAGGTGGTTCCAGTCATCAGACTTGTTACGTGATATGACTTGAATTTTAGTCACGTGACTGATTGTAACATGATGTTACGTGGTTTTAGTTCCTTGATTATAGAGATTTTACGGGATTTTGAGTCATGTACGTAACAGGCTCACCTATCACATTGACTTCATTCCATACACTGCAGACAAATCAGCGCAGGTTTGTTGGCATTGAAGTAGAAGTTGAAGAGATGATGATTATCAATCCTGTTCACACCGCGGGGAACATTCTATCCTGTTAAGGGCGAAGCTCCTTTTGGTCTAAGCTTGTCATGCGTCACGCGTAACCGAGAGAAGAGACGAGAAAAAAAAAAAGAAGCGAGATGGCTGGGCTTGTAGTGTTCACTGCACAGACAGACAGACAGACAGACAGACAGACAGACAGACAGACAGACAGACAGACAGACAGACAGACAGACAGACAGACAGACAGACAGACAGACAGACAGACAGACAGACAGACAGACAGACAGACAGACAGACAGACAGACAGACAGACAGACAGACAGACAGACGGGCGGACGAACGGACGGACGGACGCAAAGAGGGACAGATGGACTAAGATACTGATGGATGCACAGAGAGACAGACGCACAGACAGACGAACGGGCAGACAGATGGACAGACGGGCAGACAGACAGACGCACGGACTGACTGACGGACAGACAGACGGGTGTACGCACGGATAGGCGCACACACGAATAAAAGCATGGATGCACGCACGGGCGGACGGATGGACGGACGGACGAAAGCAAGTAATAACGGACAGAGGGAAGCACGGACGGATGGACGCATGGACGAACTGACGGATGCTTCGACTCACTCATCATCATTCACTCCGTAACGTGCTGTGATTTTTAGGCACTCGTTTGTATAGGCCACTGCCCTACCTCTTTCCTAATTTAGTGTCGGTGATTAATTTCATGACTAATATGTGTGGTAATTATTGTACCATAATTAAAAAAGTCATAGTTTCGCCATGGTCATACGGCAATATATTTCATGCAACAGCAACAAAACAGAATGTTATACGAAGTACGACTAGCAGCTAGTTTCTTCACAATTCCACATAAAGGCACTGGAGTAAGACAACATGACTGTTCCTGAGAGCAAAGCGGCTTTCGTGCCCACTGTAGCATCAACGTGGAGTAAGAACACAGCACGTACAAGGGTAGTCCTGAGCTGCCTACGGATGTCTGTCAAGGTACTTTTCAAACCCTTAAGTTTGGTCGGCCTTTCTTGTTTTCCTTTTCTCATCACGTCTATCGAGGTAGCGTGCTGCACAACCACTGCAATTTGATCACAGTTCATAGTGGTTGACCAAGAGATGCAGACCTCCCCTTCCGCCCACACAAACACCGGCACTCTTTCGTGCTCACATTCCTTTTGGCTGGCTTGCTTCATCCCTGCTTAAGCCGCGCCCTTCTGCAGCACACGCGATTTTTCGTTCGCACATAGAAGACGCGAAGCAAGGGGTGACCTTATCGATTTGGGCTTTATACAAAACATGATGGCACAAAGGTTCCTATAATTTATACCCATTAAAAGAGCATTCATAACCAATGACAAGTCAATTACAGGAATGACCATGCGCTCTTGTGCTTTCACAGACCTTCAAATGCCGGACAGTGGTGCGTACACTTGCAAGGCGTCGAGCGAAAGTGGCGAGACTTCCTGGACCGCGTCTCTCACTGTCGATTCCCCGCACAATCCAAATGTAAATTTTCATCGTTCTCCTGACCCGTCCACATTCCCCGGACCTCCTTCTCAACCTGTGGCGGTAAACACAACGGAGACTTCTATAACACTAACTTGGACACGCAGCGAGAAATCAGGTTCATCATCACTCAAGGGATACACAAGTAAGTCAGTTTTATTGTATCACTCGCATGCATATTGTCTAGCATGCATACATGTTATATTACAGTTGAACCCGCTTATAACAATACTCAGTTGCCATGAAAATTCCATTGTTATAACCGGTAATTGCAATAGACGGGTTGGATTAAAAAGAGAAAAACATTGACACGGCAACTTCTTGTGAGAAAACGATGATATCGAATGAGATACAGCGACAGACAGAAGTGATAAGATGGCATATGCAAAGCTGCCGATTTTTCGAACATGCTTAAAAATGTAGACTCTTTCAAAGGGCCGCCACATGCCCCATAGAGTCAATGTATGACAACGTGTGAAGATTTGGGACACTGATATTCTTCATTGTCTGAACTTTTTACTCAATATGTATAAAGTGCATTAACAGGATACACTGCTGTTGCCATGCCATAGGGAAAAGCGGCACCCGTTCATCTCTCGTCGTAGTCGTAGTGCATAACCAGTCTTACGCTTTGACCTGCAAGGTGGTGCCAGTGGGAGATTTCTCCTGTGCGTCGTTGAACAATAGAAAATTCGCAGCGTGCGCGTTAACTAAAAGTCGAATTCTCCTGTCTCTCATTCCCAATTAGCAGCCATTGGCATGTACATTGAGCACTATCTGACAAGAAAGGGTTGCTAGGTTATACTCGCTGGGCCTAACCTCCTTGGTTTTAGAAACGTTTAGCGAGGTTGGGCCCCAGTGCCATGAATACAGTGAACCAGTATATACCGTGAACTCGAGGTGGTTAAAGGTGGGAAGTGGACAAGAAGCGCAAGCCTTAAGAAAGTATTCGTGTGCCACCTCTCGTTTAGTCCTTGGAATGTCCGCTGGATGGCGGTGCTTCTATATTCGGAATATATGATGAAAAGATGCGAGATTGTGGTACTTGGAGTGTTGACGAGGTGGACGAACAGACACACAGGCAGATGCATGGACGAACGCACGGATGGCGGCACGGACAGATGGATGCATAGACGGACGCAGGGGCGGATGTATGGACGAACGCAGGGGCGGACGCACGGATAGACGTGCGGACGCACGGCCAGACGCACGCACGCACGGACGGGCGGATGGACGCATGTACGGTCACACAGACGGACGCATATATGATGAAAAGATGCGAGATGGTCGTACTTGAAGTGTTGACTAGATGGACGAACGGACACAGACAGATGCATGGACGGACGCATGGATGGCTGCATGGACGGATGGACGCATGGAGGGACGCAGGGGCTGATGCATGGACGAACGCAGGGACGGACGGGCGGATGGACGGTCACACAGACGGACGCATGGATGGATGGAAGCAAGAACGAATGGACGGACGGATGCTTCGCCCCACTCTCCATCATTCACCCCGTGGATATCCTGCCATTTTTTAAGTTATTTTTGCTGCAGTAACACGTTATTTTGCAGTGAAGCACACTGCGAGTTTGAAGGGGCCCTGTAGGACGTTGGAGTTGTAGGCGTGGCTTCAGCAGCTTGAATTTGTCGTTTTCTTTTTATCGCGATATCAACTATATGGACACTCTTGGCTAGATTTTGCCGCCGGCGTCGGCGTCACTCACCGTTTATGTGTCTATATATCTGAAAATCCAAGAAAAAAAATGAAAAAGACTCCTGCACGCAGAATCGAACTTGGGACCTCTGAATCGTGAGTGCAAGGCGTAAACCACTGGGCCACCTAGGAGCACGTCCTTCATTGTTTAGATGGCAAGCTATTTATATGTACCACTTACCGCTGTTGATGGGGATCCGGGGGGAATCATCATGTTTTAAGCATCACCAGCACTTTGCCCCGCTTAGAGGAGGGAAGCGATGCTCTCTCACGTGCCCCTATATTGCAGTGTGGAGGAGGGTAAGATCGTCCGTCTTTGCTGTCCTCGGGCTTTACCTGGAACGATTGTGTTGTAGTTACCCCGCGCACAAAGGTCGCTGCTATCAATACAGCCTCCGTTTGCGAAAAGCGCGTGCTTTTCAGACACAGCGAAGTAACTACAGAGACGCTAATTCACGTGCATCTGTACCAGTGAGTACGTTTCGTGCGTCATTTGTGCGTGAGAAACGCGGGGAACGTTTCGATCTGCTGTATATTCGGCGCGTGACGTTCAGATTTTTTGCTATCTCATTTATTGCTTCACCTTTGTGGCAAAGCTGTGGCTTTTTTGCCCTTCGAGGATTTTGCGCTTCATTACATTTCGGCACGGACGCCAAATAGCCATAATTCATAAGTACAATCGATAATGCGGTATGCGGCCATTGCTGTAAGCAGCTCATTTCACCACAGAAAACATACATGAGTAGACGGGGCAGCCACTTCTTATTAAAACTGATATATTTGATATATTATTACGGGGCATGGTGCTTGAGCCGCCTGGGCAGACAGAGAAACAAAGAAGGAGGCTGGTGTGCCGCACAAGATTCTGGTGGCTATTCATCCTGCCGCCTGGTTCTGGGCCCACCATCCCCCTTTATGGGTGAGCACCATTCATCTGAGGTCATCATCATCACTATCGGCACGGTTTCTTGTGAATATTTTAAATATATTCGCTTCTGTCGCCCTTGTGCCTTCGTGTTTCCCGTGACAATGCGGTAAAAGTGCTGGGCACAAGGAGCGCTGTACACGGAGCTCCACAGTGGTCGTCGACTTTGAGCTTTCATAATGATGAACAGGTCCTATGGTCACGACCACTTCTCCGTTGGTCACAGCAACGTCTGCACCGACCACTTCAACGCCTGCATCGGCTACAACACCGCCGACGTACATGCTGATGCATCCAAAAAAGCCTTGGGGCGTTCTGCGGTACGGATGAAGTCGACGTCAAAGCGTGGAATGCTGACTACGAACGCACCAGTGTGACCAATAGCTATGACCTGACTCTTATGCTGGCCAGCGTGCTATTCTCACTGAAAGCTACGACGAAAGTATAGTACGAGATTCAGGATTAGGAGATCGGAAGCTGGGACACTTTCAAGCAAAAAGCGCGCGACCTATTTGGGAAGCCCATAGGACGAAAAGCAGCCGCAAAGAAAGAGCTGTCCATCCGTCCTCAGACATCAACTGAGCCGTACGTTGTGTATATGCAAGACGTGCCGGCTTTTAGTCATAAGTTCGATCGCGAGCTACATCGGAGCCGGAAAAGGTTGGCCACAAACTGAAGGAAACAGCGGTTGATGCGTTCAACCTATTAATGTGCTGGAATTGTGCGGCCGGTGAAGAAATCATTGAGTAATTCCGGCGTTTTGAAGAGGCCAAAAGCTGGTGTACCCAAGAGTTGTTCCAGGCTGTCAGACACCACTGAGATGTTCTCATGCGAAGATTCACTGACCTCTCCCTGCAGTCGTCGCCGGCGTCTCAAATTACACAGATCGCCCGCCGGGAAATAGAAGCAATTACACCTACTCTTCCTAACAATTACCCCGTCGATTTGCACGTGCCCTCAATTTCCCTGGAGCAGTCAATTGTGCGGGAAGAACTCGGCAATTAGGGCTTCGCCGTCTGCGCTATTGCTCGGTCTCAGACGACTGATTACCCATCCCCAGTTAAGAAAAAACAATTCGAACCACTTGGAAATATCAATGGGTACGAACGGAAATAGTCATTTCCAATTGGACCAATTGATATAACCAGCAAGACCAATTGGAATTTTCAAATGGTTCGTCTACTTCCAATTGGGCCAAATGAAATCTCCCATTGGACCATTTAAAACAATTGAAACTGCCAATTCGTTCAATAAGATCAAATGGTACAACCAAGAAGACCAATTGGAATTTTCAAATGGTTTGTTACATTGAAATGGGTCATTTGGAACAATTGGAATTACCAATTGTTTCAATTGGATATACTCATTCCCAATTGGGCCAAATGAAATTTACAACAGGGCCAATTGTAAATAAATGAATTTGCCCAAAGGTTCAATTGGATATACTCACTCCAAACTCGGCCAAATAGGATTTCCAACAGGGTCAATTAGAAAAAAATGGAATTGCCAAATGCTTCAATTAGATTTGTTCACTTGCATTTGGGTCAAATGGAATTTCAATTTCTAACTAAGCTATGTGAAACAATTTATTATTTAATTGAAAAATGGTTCGAGCGGTTATGCTCATTTCCAAGTGGACCAAGTGAGCTTTTTTTCAACTAGGCCATTTGAATAATGTGCAAATGCCAAATGGTTCGATTAGAAATGGTTGCTTTTAGTTGGGCCATAGACGTCCCTTGGAAATTGGTGTGCACAGTTCGGTCAAAAACTTGGGGAGTCGCTTTGAACTGTTCCTTTCATTTACTTGCAAAATGTTGCAAAATTCCAAGGGTGTATTATACCACAGCTAAGATGACCCGAAAATGCTAATTATTGATGATGTGTTAAGGACATATGTCAGAATCCATCGAGCCGTTCGGATTGTATCTCATTTTGTGCTTGTCAAAGGCTCTTTTGGCATATATTGTACACCTTTTTGGCCCACCCCACAATCTACAAGGTTTTTAGTCAGTTCGTTGAACACCCCTTCAGCATTTTAGTTCTTCATGGCCACTAGCAAGCCAAATGACACTAATAGCACTTTTTAAAAGTTTTTAAAGCCACGTAAATTCTTCAAGGACAAACTAAGCAACACAGCTCATGTGCTTGGAGCTACTCTTGCGAAAAACAGCATTATATCCTTTTGCCATGCATGCACTGCAGAGAAGTTAATTCACAGCTTCGCGTGCCTCAGGATAGTGAGCAGTGCAAAGATGTTTTGGTTGGATGTGATTGCAGCTAGTTTTATTCAAGGACACTGTACAATAGATTAAGACTTTTTCTTGAAAAAAAAATGTTTTTTAATTGGTACAATTATTGTAAACATAAGGCAGTTACATCAATCCAAGGTCGCCGCCTCACCCAAGGTTGCCGCCCCAGGAACGGTTCTATCCACGCTCTCGCAATCCGACCGAATGGCGAACTGCGAATGACCAGCCGATCTGTTTCAACTGTCGTCGTATAGTACACGTGGCACCGTATTGTAACAGCCATTTGTTTTCGCCTAGAATCTAGTATGCCACTGCTGGTCGCGCTTACAGCTACCGCCATTTACAGCCTCCTGAGCCACACGCCGATAGCCACCACCATTCCCAACCTTTCGAACCGTTCACCCACGATGCCTCTGCTATGCTGTACAGCCACCCACCATGCATCGCCCAGAGGTCACCAGTCCTGTTCGCCGCAAGTACGTCGCCCGTCGTCCCAGTCTCCTCAATGACGTCCGACCACACCCTCAATCTCCGACAGAGAAACTGAGAGATGCAGCTATTGGAGGTGATGCTGCATAAACTATTTTCACCTCAAATCCTCTCCTCGTAATGCCGACAAGACTAAATTTGATTAACGTCGACGGCCAGCCATTTTCTGGGCTTCTTGATACTGGGGCACATATTTCCGTGATGAGTGCTCGACATCGCCACCTGAAGCTAACCCCGGCTGCTCCTGGTATTATTCGTGTTGCTGACGGAAGAAGTCCTGTTATCATTGAAATGTGCCCAGCACGCATCACCATTGCCGATCACCACACGTCTGCTTCGTTTGCTGTTTATGAGCGATGATTGGATTTTTTGTCCAGCCATATGCCACGTTCATGCAGTGTGCAACCGGCATTCTCCAACTCGAACTACGTCGGCTTGCTGATGCACCAGCTTGGCCGTCACACTGCTTGTGGAAATATCTATTATGTTCGGCTGTCACCATAAGCCGCCTCGTGTGTGGCCTTGACGACTTCATCACCTTTTCCCAACGGTGACTACATAGTGTCTCCGTTAGTTGACGCCCTCTTGGCCCGATATATAGCTGTGCCTCATACCCTCGTGACTGTCGTCAACTGCGTCAAGCTCCCGCTCCTCTATTTAACTTCAGCAACCGAACCCAAGTTCTCCCGCTCCAAATTTCCTTGACCAACGTCTCAGCGCTCGATCCATGGCACTTGCATCGTGAAATTGGACACTAGAATGCTGAAAGTTGAAAACCGCTATCGTTATAAGTTGGTTCAACTGTATATCATATTTTCTACCTCCATTTTGCATTATATCATTTATCACCTCCATACATTACGTGCATAGCAAGAATTGCCCTTTACTCCATCTAAATGCAAAAGTTTACATGCATGCATGCTTATAAATGGTGTAAACTGTCTTTAGAGTGTGCATCATTCTTCACCTTTTCAGCAAACATCAGTATTGTAGATTTCATTTGTAGGTGCGGGGTTCATGTGTTTAAAAAATTATCCAGTCTAAAGACAATCGATCTTTTATTCGCAAGAGTGTGAGTTGTCATCCACTCATAATAATGATCGAACTAATGGAGTGACCGAGTTACGTATTTACTCAAATGCGTACTTTCTTTTGCGATTTTTGTGATCCGAAAAAGGAACTGCGCAAATTACGCGGAGATTTCGCAAACGCATCCGAAATAATGCGCAGTAGTATCTAGTGCGAACACGCGTGCTATATAAATTAAAGAAAGAGAATAAATTGGAGCAAACGGCGTGTACTTGTTTATTTATCAGAATTCGTACTTTAACGAGCCAGGTCCGGTCACGCGTGGTCTACTCAGAAGCACTGACTGAGAGGTCCAATTGCGAACCATCATCACGGCTGCTGTCACTGCCCTCCTAAAAGCGCGTCGTCCTCGCTTCCTTCGAGATCGTTCGAATGCCTGCCATCTTTCTGAAGCTCTTCTCGGCAATGCTGTGAGAAACCGGGTTCCACAACACAGTGATACCCGAGGGCTTTTCCGCACGTAATTATAAAGGTGTGCTTCAACGGCAGGAAAGGTATTAGTAAGCGAGGGCTCTTCTGCTTTCTGCCGTACTGAGCGTCACGTGCTAAAGAACTTCGACTTGGTGGCACGGTTCCCATTTTCTTCGGCAAATTTTACAACGTACAGCGAGCTAGAATTTCGCCGTATATATAATTATTGTAGCCCATGCAACGGTAATAGTAGAAACGCGACAGATAGATGGCGAACCCTAGACTTCCGAAATGAACAAAGCGTGCATGGTACAGTATTCTAGGGACTGTAGAAGTCCTTGGAAGAAGAGACTTCGCACTTGCAGCCACTTTTTTTGTATCACTGCACTCGCTGGCTCAGCAAACAGCGCGCCCGTCATAAGGTCCACAGTCTCTTCGAACTTGCGCTGGAGGGCTGGATTGGGCAGGTCAGGGAGAGCAAAGTACGCTAGTAAACTGTTTCTTAGGTGCGAAGCAGCTAATGACGAAACTCAATTCACTGTGCGTAACTAACTGTGCGTGTGTATTAGTTGGCCAGAACAAGCTGACGCACTAGCACATTCCAGCCTGTTTAAAGGACTGGGCAAGATGCTGTGGCCTCTCCCCCTACACTCTCTCAGCAATCATGTGATGGAATCGGGGAACGAGATTCTGCAGACCCTGCAGACGCACGATGTTCCAACGCTTTGTATATTTGTCAGAACGTGCTGACATGTGCTAGCACGTTCAGGCTTGCGTAAGTGGTTGAGGGTTGTGGCCTCTCCCCCTTACATTCTCTCAGTGATCAAGTGATGGCGCCGGGAACGATATTCTGCAGACATGCGATTAAACAACGAGATTCTGCAGACATGTGATTAAACTACAATGAATTCATGGTCTCCACTTGCAAGGACGCCTTAACATCAGGCAAGGTGTCGTGATGAACGAAACTTTTAGTCGACCCACGCGCTGCTTCGCATGCTACTCATGATTCACTTTAGGAAGAGATGGTATGCCTTTCTGGTAAAACTGACTAACTATTTGGGGTGCACAAATTATGCAAGTAAACGCAGTATGTGAGTGCGGGTCAGAAGCAGTATACGATCGCCTCTTCGTTTTCAGTTGAGTACTATAGCAGCGACCTCCAAAGTGGATGGGTTCTGGCAGCCCACCGAGTTCTTGCGGAAACGCACACTATCCAAGCCCTGCATCCCGATTCACGGTACATCTTCATTATACGTGCGGAAAACTCTCATGGACTAGGGGTACCCAGCCCTGTCTCCGAAACTATACGAACATTAGGTAGGTGCCATTGTTTGAAGCAACATCCTTTGATATCGGCAAAATCAGAAGCCTTAGTTTCAACTGAGAAACATACCGTCACAACATATATTGCTACGATACTGAATATGATTCACTCAACTTCTTCATGGGGTGTCACAATACGGTATTCTGACTTATCTCGCAATCACTTCCGCGTGAAGAAGTTGAGCGAAGCATAAGCTGTGACGGTATTTTTGAAGGCTTTCTCCCGAAATTGTTTCCTCTGGTCACGCACCTTTTTAGCATTCGTGCGCTGATATTATTTCCTTGCGTATATCTTTCTCTCGGTAGGAATGGCCGCACAGTTTCTCCCCGAATACAACCTCGATGAAGCTCGAGAGAAGCTTAGTGCGAGTGTGGTGACACTTCAAGACATACGTGCCATGAGTTCAACAGCCGTGAAGCTGAACTGGAAGGTATCCTCCGTGCTTCTATGATGTGATTTGCTTACCACGAAATGTTTTTCAATACCATCTGCACACGGCATACAAGTTAGTCATGCAAAGCAGCGGTCTACGTCACTGCATAGCATTGGTTTTTTTTTTTTTTTTTGCAGAGGCTGCATAAATACAAGGCTCAATGAATGCGGAATTTTCATAGAAACAAAAAATAAACATGCGGATTTTAAATATGTCCAAAAAAGCAGTGCCTATAAGCTAAACATGTACTACACTTTCAGAGCACCTGTACAGTAGTGTGCTGATGGATGACAGACCTAAAGATGTCTCTTTTCTTCGTTAAGCACCGACTAATGAACTCAGCAGATATATGAAGTCTAGAAAACGGAGATATTATTTGTGGCTTTTGATTGAAGGGCAGTAATTACGACACAAAATAAATAAGAAAAAAACAAAGTGCGGCTGAAAAAGACTGCTCCGAATAACTTAGAATTGGGCGCATAACTTAAAATTATTAAGTCCGTACGTTTTCAAGGAAATGAGCCAGACAGAGAGCGCACATGCAGAGAAGGAGGAGGATGATACTGCTGAGAAAAATGCATCGTATGGAGATTGTGCGCATCCCCGGCTGGAAGTGAGAATGTGCATGGCGGCAGTGGAGTTTGGGTGCAACACTCAACACAGGTTACATTTACAATTTCTAAAGCGCATCTTACACTGCCTTGAAAGCCTTATACTAGATGTGTAAAAACATTTAAATCAATAAACTTAGCATAATTTAGAGTGCTGTCCTTTCTGCAGAGACCTTTATATACTGCTTCAACCTAACATGTTATGTCATGCAGGTTCAAGGCAGCAAAGATTATGTCGAGGGTTTTTACGTTCGATTCCGGGACATGAGTGGTGGCTCCCAAAAGTACAACATGGTGACCGTGCTGAATGACGGAGCCCTTTCCTATGTGCTCAATGACCTTAGAAAGTTCACGAAATACGACTTCTTTCTCGTGCCCTTCTACAAGAGTGTCGAAGGCCCACCAAGCAACTCGAGGAGTGTTCAAACGCTTGAAGATGGTAAGTGAGCTTTTTTAAATAAGCTGTTCTACTACACGCACATTCCGTCCTGACCAGAGCATACGGCACTTTAAATTGCCAGGGAGTAAAGTCCTGTTATAATGAAACAAAGAGGGAGCTGTGCTTAGTTTATTATAGACAACAATTCATTACAGTGTCTGCCTGCTCCAAGGAATGGTGTGGGTACTCTTGAAAGGAAAGAGGTGTTCCGCAAATAACTATTCTATTCTATATAATAATGCAGAAAACCATCGCACATTTAAATAATGTGTGTGCAATGCACATTGCCCAAATTACCACAAAAAAAATTATGGCGTCGCACAAGTTGTGCAAAGCGGGAAGGAAGAGTGTACATTGGTGGCCTTCCTGGTTTACTTTAATTATTTTCTTTTTTTCTGTTTCTTGCGTTTCTTTATTTGTATCTTTCTCTTCATTTCTTTGTCCCTAAAGTATATTTCTCACTCATTTTTTTCTTTCTCCACACACACACACACACACACACACACACACACACACACATATATATATATATATATATATATATATATATATATATATATATATATATATACTGCTTCTTTCCTTTTATTGTTCATCTATATTTTCTCGCTTTGTGACTCACTCTCTATTGTTTTCGTATTTTTAAATGAAATTGCTTTACGCTGGGGTCCCACCACAGATCCACTGATGCACTTCCGTCACGGATATGACGTTGTAAAATAAATCATAACAGGATTGCAACGAAGAAATTACACCATCTTCCACTAAAGAGAACCATGTGTCGATGCAAAGCAGCCGGCGCTATCACGTTGACGCTGGCACTCATCGTGGCTATGCACAGGAGAGAAACCTGGGGAGGCGCAAAGTGAGCACTGATGGACCAGTGTTTTTTATTGGAACATGCCAATCGCTGCAAATGCAGTGCATGGGCAATGAGAGACGGAAGACTTCGATTGGACACAGAGACCCGCAGTCCGCTTTTAGTTAATGCGCACGGTGCGAATTTTCATTTTTCAACAACGCAAGGAGAAATCTCCTACCGGCACTACCTTGTAAGACAAGATCCAGTACCTATATATACGAGGTTACCAGGGAATGGCTGTGCAGTGTGAGCAATCTATTTTTTTAATTATGAAACTCGCTAGCAGACGCTGCCTGCGTCGGCGTTGTGAGGTGAGAGAGAGGTGAGCGTAGGGAAGAGGAAATGTTAACGATGAGAAATTTCAATACACCATGTACCGCTGATGTTCCTCAGAGCCCAGCAAACTCAGCGCGCTTTCATCATAAGTAGTGAGATGGCGCGAGAAGCGCGCGTCGGGCGCACTCGCCCAAAAGGTCGTGGCCCCGCGCCACCCCGCACGCTGATATGCGTGCGCGCCTTCACATGGCGTGGCCAAAGTGCTGTATAGATGCTATCTGGTGTGGTCGATCACTAGCGCGCGCGCTATATCCTGAGATTCGGGTGCTTTATACGCTTGCGCTTCCACCGTAAGTTTTCGTTGAAGTACAGTGGTTAAAGGAAGCATGAAGATCACTTCTCTTCGCTGCCGCAGCCGCGTTTACGAAAGGAGCATGCTGCTCAGCGCACACCAAGCAGTAAGAATTGGGACAGTCGTTCCCCCTCGATCGTCTTGTGTATACTTGTGTGTTCGTTTCGTGCAGTGCTTTTTTTTCTGTTTGAGCAGCCTGCTTTACGTGTCGACCTGTGACAGTTGGTAGTCTGCGCTTGTCCTGTGCGTGCTCATTTCGTGCGAGCTTTCAGCTTTCCAGCTGCCTGCCGGAAAGTTTCGAGCTGCTCGCCGTTCTTCGCGTGCCATGTGCAATAAATGCTCGGACAACTTTTTTGTATTTTCTTTCTATTTATCTTTTATGTATCTTTCTCGTGCTTCACGAGCTCCACTTCACCAAGCAGTTTTTGTTCAATACTTGCACCTGCTGTACTCCGTAACGGAACTTTCCCAGTTCCTTTAGTGCATACACACCTGAGGAGTTTTGCATGATGGAGCACAAGTTATCGGTAGCATCTTTACTGCCTCGCTGTCATGAGCAATATCATGTGCTTTCTTTAATGCAGCTGTCGAGGCTACTGTGCAAATGCCTTCACATGCACGCTCAGGTGGAAATTAGGCAGGTAGATCTGAGCAAATTTAGAGTACGCTGGCTCTACACAATGCTCATTGCTGTATGCAAAGTGGATCTTGACAAAAAAAAAGAAATTAATCCTGTTGGCATCGGTAGGGATGTGCATTGTACCTAATCTGAAAAAGAAAGACGTCCAAAATTGGACAATTGTCAAATGCAGAAGTGCTCGAGTACCAAAGACAGCAGCTGTGGCGTGTGCGCTCACTAGATAGCGTGGTCGCTTCAATGCCCACTGCTGCATTGATAAATTAGCAAATTGTGTGCATTGTGACCAATCAGTCAATTGACTTATGTGCAGTGACATGCCGCCAGGTTACAGCCTCATTGGTGCAAAATTGTCAGCCTTCCTTCTCAAAAGATAGAGGGATTGTTTAGTTCATCTAAAGGAAACATAACATTCATTAAATTTTACTTTTCATCCATGGCATGGCTTTAATATACATACTTTTCGAGGAATGGTCATAATTGATTATATCTACTTGATTGTGATTATTAATAATCACTTATAATGAGGTTCAAAATTTTTGCTTTGCTAAGCTTGTCAGCTGGCAGTTCCTGTATTGTTGTGTAAGCGGGGCACACTGCAATTGAAGAAAGGAGAAAAAGGTGAATGGGGTATCATTTTCAAGCTGTCATACTAAATGTGATTGTATTAGTTTACACTCGCACAACGTGAAAACAAACAATAAAAGTGGGTGCAAGAGGGAAAATATCAATTTGGTCACAAAAAATCATTAGAAAGTACATTTTATCTAGTTTCACAGTCAGTCTTCCAGCAAGGAGCCATTGCAGTTGATGGAAACTCGACATTTTTCTCTCCTCATCAATTCCTTACTTTAGCTTTAGTGCTAGGCATGTTAAATATCACTCAACAGAATTATATAATTAATTTCAAGTCTTCTATATGTATAGCTGGTATACTTGTTTCATTGTGGTGCATTTCCTGTTTTATAGTGCCCCTTTTGTGTCATCTGCCCCCAACCTCCAACTCTTTGTTTTGAAGCAAAGGTGGCTTCACTGCGTTATGATTCTTAGTGTGGTAAAGCTACACTGCAGTTGCCTTCATTTGTGGGTTTGTAAAAAGAATAAAAAAATGTAAAAAAGATGTATAATCAAACGCTGCTGTACATGGCAAACAAAATTGTAGGGTAAAAGGGATTGTTAAAATGTTCAATGCATGCCTATAAAAAATGACAAAAAGGAAGAGAAGGGAGTGATGCAATTCGGCCATCAAATTTTATAAAACCCTGACTGAGACATGAAAAACAGTGTTAATATACAAACACTCCGCCTGCAGTGCCAACAGCACCACCTGACAGTGTGGAAGTCCATGTTCTCAACAGCACAGCTGTCACTATTTTCTGGTCTCCCCCACCACCTCAGCATTGCAATGGAAGACTCCGAGGATACACTGTAAGTGGAATGCCATCAGCTGATTTGCTCACTTCCCCAGTCTAGAACAACAAATTGATTAAGTAGCTTCAAGATGGAAGAAATAATGACTAGTTATAAAATACAATGCCTTGTATAAAGTGAAGAGTTGCTATATCAGCTAACTTTTACATAATGGGGACCAGAAGAAAAATTAGATATCAGTGAAGCTAAGCTCCAAGTTAGATTTCAATAACTGCAGTGACTGACATGAGCAGGCTCACATAATACAAGCAGGTCAGTGACTAATTCATTCTGGTAGGCTATTTATGTGCAAATAATTTTACTTGATGATTCTGATGAACATAGTAACAAATAATGATAGCGTTACATTGAAAGACCCCACAACTTACAAATGTGTTGTTGTGCAACAGTATTACTACAGTTGATGCTTGACTGACAGTCTCTTATGGCATTGCAAAGAAATATTGCTTATTAAGGATACTATGGTGCGATACTGCAGATAACTGCTTGTACAGGCATTTTCTAACCTGATTTGCAGAATGAATGGTAATCTTAGTATCTGTGCTTAGCATTTTAACTGAAATTTTGATGTCTCACGTAAAAGCAGATTCGCCAACGCTTACCACGAGAACCTTTGATCAATGAGAAAGTGTGAAGGTTATAGGGGATTACAATATCTTTCCTCTGAGGAATGCAGCTAGTTTTGTTGAGATCTAGTACAGTTTTAGAAGCTTTAGAAGGATTCGGAAACGAAGCTTTAGACAAATTTTATACAGTGTGTAGACTGAATACACCGAAGAAAGCATGGCAAGAGTCCCAACTGTGAAGAAGCAAATTTCCCATTTGCAGGTGTATGTGACTGAAAATGCCTCTGATCTCAATATCAATCAAAGCACAAACTCCACAACTAACAGCCTAACATTGAGCAACCTGAAGACAGGAGCCACGTACGAAGCACGTGTGGTTGCTGTAACCACCGTTGGTGGGGGACCAGCCAGCAGCCCAGTCCACTTCAAAATGGGTTAGTTCAAGTTTTGAAGCTAGCACCTTTCTCTGGCTATTTCGCACATTTTCACACATATTGTCGTAGTGGGGTCAGACAACAGCTGTGACTTGGACATGTAGGCTTTCACTGTCTTTGTGAATGAGGTGCTTGTACTCTTATGCAAGTGAGTTCCACATCATGTGTGTTCTGCATTGAACGCCAACTCTACGAGGTGCATATGCTGCTGTGTGAGACCTCTGGGGCATTCAAAGATTAAATGATGTCGGGGGGGGGGGGGTAGGGGGACACACACTGCTCTCTTCTCCTGCCCCCTTTCTCTATATGGCAGCCGTGGAGAGGGAAATGGCAGTTGGAAACCATGCTAGATCTTGCATCAATGAATAGAATGCACATGTTGCCTTATATATGTACGACTGCCTATAGCTACTACAGGTGTACTTGTTAACAGCATTTTTGTAATTCTGAATTGTGCATTGAAGCAACAATGGCTATCAATATTCTCAGTGTAGCTGAACTGGTGCCTCCAAGGGCATAATTTTTTTAGTGTGAGTGGCATTGACAATCAGATCCAATACTTCTGGCATGTTTTTTTTTTATCTCGCTTTGAAAATAAAGTCAAAGTCAAAGTTCTTTGATTTCTCGTCAAAGGTGAGCTGCACTGTACATATTTCCTACTAATGTTTTTGTTCAGTTGGCATGAAGTTCTTCGAATATATAACTTTCCAGTGTAAGTGCCATGCACAAACACTGTGGTTACAATAAAACGAGTCACCTTATCCTGACTATAAGACTTTTTACACAATTTTTGTGATAGGAAGATGTTCAGAAACTAAGAACTGAAATGTCATGATGTAGAAGATTTTTACAGACTAACAAACTTCAAATGTAAAAAATTTCTACCAGGTACCAACAAAAATCAAAGCTTGAACAGCTTTCGTATCCCTAATATCTGTATGGTCTGCTATACAAATGCATGACTGCAGGTATTGGTGCTTTAGCTTTATATGTGCTTAATACGATATCACTGGTGCAGACATTCTAAGCTGTTTACAACACATGTATTTCCCCATCCAAATTTTTTTTCTAAATTTCAGAAAGCCCAACTTCCTCCACATCGCTTTCTACTCCTCTTCAAAACATCATAACGCAATCATGGTTCATTGCACTTTTTGGATTATTGCTGCTTGCAGCAGTGACAACTTTTGTGATACTTTTAGTACGAAAAAGACGGCTGGAACATGCGAAGACAATTACAACAGGTATGGATCCAAGATGCTTGCTAGCTTTACGAAGTCTTAACACTCTTGCAACTGCAGCTAGACATATAGGATTCTATGAGGAATATTTTTTGGAAGAGAGCTTTTGATGAACAATTTCTTCTGGATAGCCTTTTGCTTCTCTAATCAAACTGCTGCATTTATATCTTTCTCCAGCTCCAGTACATAAGCAGGAAGACATCAGGTAAGAGGTCTTGCTTTTTTTTTTCCAGTTCTTTCATATTGGCATTGCACTGACATGAAATCGACTTCCTTTATAAACTAAATGATGCATGGCTAATTGATGCACTAATCTCTTTCCTCTCTGCTTTGCCAGAAATTGCTTCAATTCCCTCTCTGGCCCGGCCAGTCTGAGCCCTCATGAAGCCTTGTGGATCGACCATAGTGCCTGGAGAACTTCGGACACCTATGAAAGAGCCCTTCTGTGATGCAAAGGCTGTTAACAAGATGAGCTGTGCATCAAACGACTGTCAACTATTCTAGGTGATCTTTGTCTGACCTTTAAATAATCACGAAGGCCCTCCATTAACTGAGAAACGTTGCCTCCAGCTGGTGCTGTAACAGGCCCCTTCTAAAAGCTTGTTCGCACAATAGCGAAGAAGGAAACACAGGCAACAAGTATAGCAAGTTGGAGCATTATAATGTCGTATTGCTATAGCTCAGCTCAGTTTGAGTATGAAAAAAAGAAGCAACAGTGAAGAAGGAAAACACAGAGAACAGAATGAGTGCTGATCATGCTGGCTGTGTTTTTCCTTCTTCACAGTTGGCTCTTTCTTCATGCTGAAACTGAGCTGCGCTATAGCAATACGAGGTTATAAAGCACCAACTTGCCCAATCTGCAGTACTTGTCAATTTCATTTCTCGTTAACGCTGGTGACTCAGTCGTTGCACGAACAAGTTGGTCGCAAACTAACTTTCCTAAGACAAAGCATACTTTGAATCAGTCACTCGCTGCTCACTTTTTCAGTTGCATGACCTGTACCCAGTGAACCACAAATATAGTGTAGACATTCATGATATGTTTCTCATGGACATTGTAAATGTCTCTTCGATATCCATAAAAATCCAAATTACGAAGATTAGATGTACCCGCAACTATGAAAAATCAGGCGAGTAAGGTTGCAGGTACGTTGCACATGGACACTGAATGGACATTTAATAGATATACATAGACATTTTCATATAGTAAATAAAAGGTTTTTCATGCCCTTCGCACTTTTATCGCATGTAGTTGGTGTGTTAGAACAGCGGTCTCATGGCAGCCTTGCTCATTGCCGCTCAGCTTCACTTTATAGGAAGGATCGTGGGCGTGAAGCTGGCCTGATCTATTGATATGTGTGGTTTAATGTCCCAAAACCACCATATGAATATGAGAGACGCCGTAGTGGAGGGCCCTGGAAATTTTGACCACCTGAGGTTCTTTACTGTGCACCTAACTCCTAGCACACTACCTACAGCATTTTCGCCTGCATTGAAAATGCAGCAGCCGCCGTGATTCGAACCCGCGACCTGCGGGTCAGCAGCCGAGTACCTTAACCACTAGACAACTTGGGCGATGCTGGCCGGATTGCTGTCAGACGACAAATTTAAAACCAGCCTCACAATGTCAATGTTTTCTAAAAGTATAGCACACCAGCTAAGAGCCAGACTGTAGTGGGAGCACAGGTCTCGAGCACACAAAACTATGTATACATAGCAAGCCTGAAGGAAGTGTGGAGCTGGGAAAAAAGTCTTTCTTTCGAGCTTCCTTTCCTCCTCTCTTTCATTTTTTTTCAGTTTTTGCTGTCTTTATTTCTCCTCTATGTTTTTAATCTTCTTGCCCTCCCTGTTTTCTTTCTATTTATTTCTTTTCCATTTCTTTCTATTTCTCACTTGCTTCATCTTTTTCTATTTTCGATGTGGTTTTGCTTGCGTTACACCAAGTAACGACAGCCCAGGCCCCTAAAATGCTTCACACTTGAAAGCACCGTAGCGGTGCATGATGTCGCGCTATCATGTACGACAGCACTATAATGCCGCGCATGTTAATTTTATGGTCGTTTGCGTGCTTTATCTCCTCGCGTATGCAAGTGTATGCATTACGCACGCTCGAACATCACATGTTCATTTATCTTCGAGCACTTTCTAGATTTTACGTGTCAATATATATTTATGATTCTAAACGTCAACTAAAGCAGTTTTGGAAGACATAAAGTTCTGCGATGCATTTGATGTTGAGAGCACGTATGTGCAACATCATTTGTGACGTCTAGTTTCTGTCTAAGAGAGAAGTGTATACGACGTTAATATTATGTAGGCTCTCTAGACTGTAAGGATGGCACATTAGGCGGATGTCGACTAGATGTTATCGATAAACGTAGACGTATGGATCTTACTTTTATGTTGACAGGATATGAGTGGTTCACTGGGTAGCTCGAAAGCCTGTGAATCAATAAGATATACACAGAAAGAAGACGTCTTCTTGCTGATGGCTTTGTTTTACAAGGCGAAGATAGTGCGATAAAATGCTGATGATATCATTCATGAGGCATTTTCATGTGGTGACAAGTGTAGGTAGTGCTAGTGAGTGTAAACGTCGATTGCCATCAGTAAATTTTTGGTCACCCTTCTCAAGTGGTCACAGATCAAGCTCTGTTCCAGGGTGAATGAGCCCTAACATTTCTTGGGGCAAACAGTCCTGCTAATGTAGTTTTTATTTTCATAACCTAAGCGAAGTAAGTTGTGAAACTGGTTTTTCTCAGATATTTGGTCATCTTGTTGCCAATTCATCCTAACTTTGTGCAAAAAGTTTTGTACACGCGTTGAAATAGATGATGTTTTTAATACAGGTTATGGGATGAAATTTTCTCAACAGATTTGTTGCTGGCACTATGCACCACACAAGTACACAAGAGTACCATATCTTACGATTCTTGTTACCCAAATCCAGCTCTTTCTTGACCGAAATGCCCGCTTTAGCACATTTAAAATTTTTCTGTTGCATCATATGTTTACACCAACGTTAACTCGGCAAGTTGAATCTGAGTATTTCAGTTGAAGCATCATCACAGACTTTTTTCATCATGAACAAGCCCAGGCTCGTCTTTGGTCGCAGCGGTACAAACTGTGCGGACGAGTTGGCTAACTACTAATTACTTAATTCATTGGTATTCAACTTCAATACATCGCTGCTTACAGCGTTTTCTTTTTCCTGTGTTATGCAGCTGTCTACGCACCTTTAAGCTGCGGCGTTGATGCCACTGACTATGCAGAGGTGGACACTTACAACTTGACAACATTCTACAAAAAGGACCTGTCGTCTATACCGGAGCCTTATGCTACTACCACATTGATAAATCCTTCATTCCAGAAGAGTTCAAGTGGTTCAGTAAGTAACCCCTTTTTTTTCTACAGTGAACTCAGACACTGACGCGGTGCCACCATTCACGACACTTCTCATGATCATGTGCCGAATGAGTGTATCATTCGCTCCAGTGTTTCCACATAAAGATCTTCAGCCGCGCACTGAAACTGACAATTGTGCTACGCTTGATTTTCTTGCCACCTTGTTGCCTGATGGCTTGTGTATTCTTTATCACTTTCTGTAATAAGTTAGTGTCCCACATTAGGAAAAAGTGCTGGGCAAAAAATGCATTTTTTCTAAAATTACATTTTTTTACTTGCATTCATTTTAACTTTAGTTCCTCTCCTTTCATGACAAAAATCAAGGTAGCAATTAAGCTGACTGTAAGTTAAAATTGCTTTTAAAGAGGACAAGGTGTCTATTATGTACACACTATAATGATCTGGTTGTCTAGAATTCGCCAGCAAAAAATCAGCTGGCTGCTTGCCATTGCATTTCACATGAGGAATTGACCAAAGCCCCATGCTCATAATTACCATTCATTCGCAAGCTCTCATTATGAAAGAAATTAAAAACATATCTTTGCCATATACATGAGCTTTCATTTTTACGTTCAAGACGCATTTTTCTGAAGATGCAATTGTGAGCAACGTATTGAAATTATACATCACATATTTGGCACTTCTGATGGCCAGATCAGGACAAACTTTTTCGCACACATTGCTTAATATGTGAAAAGTGAAATTATCTCTTTTTAATCCTGTACCACTTATATAATTATCATAAATCTAAAATAAGCAATTTGTTTGGGGTCAGCATCTTAAGGCTTTTCATATTACACTTCTTTCTTGTTCATTAAAATGTCTTATACGCACTTGTTCTTTGCATTCTACAGTTAATGCAGAGTAATATGAACCATTATTGTTTCATGAAAGCTTAGTGGCAGAAAGTGTGTCCGAAAAATTGGTTCCAAATCTGCATGTTACACCGCAAATGTCGTCGAAAGACGATAGTCTTGCGTCTGGAGAGAGTGAACAAAACGTTTATTTTATGTTCTGCACAAGAAAATCGCTGAATGGTATTCTGGAGGCACTGCACTAGAGTGCCTCGAGCGTGCAGCGGAAGCGAACGAGTGCATCGAGGCACATTATACACAAGCACCATCTGGCAGTTATCTTCGAATATAAAGGCATGCAGCCCTCGGAGAAAGATGCGCACCAGTCTCGGAGGTGATAAGGTGTGGAACGCAAAGCGACGGGCAGGTGCCACCATCGTGACGTTGTAGCAAAGTGTTGGAAACACCTTTTTGAGCATCACATTGCACTGTCAGCGCAGCGCGATAAACGCTTCAGTCCTTAGAGTTACCTGTGTGTGCCTCTTCTAGTATAAAGCCAGACATACTAAACATAGAGGTGTTGTTATGGCTCCTCAGATATGTACAATAATTACTTTTTAATTGACAATTGCACAACTATGAACGCTAAACCTTGAGCAATATTGATGGGCACTGCGGATGGGGTTGGCCGTTTGATGCCGTTTGAAGCATTGTTAGGACGGACAAACAGACAAATGTACAGACAGACAGACAGACAGACAGACAGACAGACAGACAGACAGACAGACAGACAGACAGACAGACATCAAAATTTTTTTGTCGAAGGTCCCCAAGAAAGACTATTGTCTTTAAAAGAGCCATATTTTATCCATTGTCATGGTACGCAAGGAAATCTATCCAATTTACTATAAATCTGTTTACATGTTTGAAATCAGCATAAATATCTATGTGAAGAGCAAAAATTCAATTACTCTAAGCTGTATAAAAGAAACCTTTTGTGAGTAGCATCTCAACTCTCTAACTTTTGGGACAATGTCTGCAACATCATTTGTCATCCACATACACTGATAATGTGTAACTCTATTTGTCGCTTTATCTTGTGTTGTGCCCTTAATGTATTTGCGAATTGCAATGAGATGACGCTCCACAAGAAGAACAAAAATGATAATAAAGAGATTTGTTTGTGTTCAAAACATTACTGCGGATATAGTGTCAAAGAAGTGCTTTATGGCACAAAAGTTGATTTCAGGCTCATTTTCCAGATGCTACGTGAGAATATGGCTTGCAAAAAAAAGTTGTGAATTGACTAGGTTTTCTGTGGAAACAAATATTGCATGGTTCCTGATAAATTAAGGCTTTACGGCTAGTTTACTTGGTAAATCTATAACCAAAAAGCACGGAGTTATATCACTTTCTCTGATTCTGAGCAAGTTCTCACCCCATAAATATTGAAAGATATATTTTTTGCTTTCTTCTTTTTTTTTTCAGGCCAGAGATAGTCGCAGTGGAAGCTCGGCAGAAGAAAGGAGTCGGACGTCAGACAAAGCTTTTGACCTTGAACTGAAGCAGGCTAGCGCAGGTATTTACTGGTCAGACTAGTAGCAACCGGAGGGGAACTTAGTGTGCACCATCACTGTGTATATACAGTGCTCACAAAGTAAAGCGTGACATCAATGCTTCAAGTGTAATGACTGGCACATGCAATCATTCAAGATGACTATTCTATAATACTTAATACCTGGAATTCAATGTCGCAAAACTATGGATACGATTACGTGAGACGCCGTAGCAGAGGGCTTCCGAAAAATTCGACCATGTGGTGTTGTCTAACCAGCCGGTGTTCTTTGACTGACATCGCACAGTACATGGACTCTACCAATTCACCTCTATTGAAATGCAACCTCCATGGCCGGGATTGATATCATGACCTTGCAGTCAGCAGCCTAGCACAAAATAAGTTGCCATGTCTTTGCAAATGTAGTCACTAATGGCAATGCAGGCTTCTATGTAAGCATACAAGTTGAAATTTTGCGGGTACAACATGAACTTAAAATGTCGGAAGTGAAAGCATGTGCATTACTTAGCTCTACATTGTCGTGTTTCAATCCTATGAGCAGTGTGCATGGTGACTTAATGTTTGTGAGACCTCAACTATTGCTCTCATTTATTACAGATGGTGTTACTGACCTGCTGTTGGAATCAGATAAGCTCACTAGTCCGGCCAGTGACTCGGCCAGTTACACAACAGGTGAGCTAAGTTGTTTTAGGCAAGCATGTGTTTTTAATTAGTTTGGTATAACAGTACTTTTTAAACAGCTAATCAACATTCGTAATGCATAATCAGCAATATTCCGTACTACCTCGAAGAATTCCCTTTCAGTGGCACGAAAATTTTCTGTTTCAGAGATTTTTCTCTGCAAACGTTGACGAAATCCCTGGCATATTTCCCTACACAACAGTACTCATTTCCGCCTCCATCTTCGCACACACATACTATAGTTAGATGTGTCTCACGTCCTGGCAACCTTTTACATCATGACTAGGCCCCTCCACTGCCACATAACAAAAGCATGACTTTATTAATTAGTATACTGTTAGTACACTGCACATTGCGGGCTTTTAAGTCAAACACCAATAGTGGACATGAGGTCGCTTCGCGTAAATTTCAGAAACAAATCTCAAAGGCTATCCTTGCGTGGTGCATGCGCCAGAACAGATTACAGCAGGTGAAGGTGCACTGTGACCACTAATTATCGGTCGTCAGTAGGAAAATTCAACCATTCCTAAAATTCCCTGCAATATCACGAAGATTGTTTTTTTACCTTTGGCTCAAAATTACAGCCTATAATTTCTCAAAAAAAAGGGAAATTTCCTGCAGGAAACATCCCTGCACGTAATACTCATTGCCTAATGTCAAGTGTTAATATAATTAACACTTGATGGTTATCAGCTTTCTAACTGAATACATTTGTATAATTCACATGTATTTTGCAATTTTCAAGTACAAAATGAAGCATTTTTATGCAGACAATAATAGGCTCACATATTTGCGATTTTTGTTTCAGGAGCAGTAACAAAGTGAGTTAATTTGATGAAACTAGCCATGTAGTGAATACTGCCACTGCAATTTATCCATTGTCTTGTGTAACCTTTCACAGTGAATGAAGTACAGGGTAGATCCTCATACACAACATCATAATATTGGCAGGGTAGCTTTTTACTAATAATGTTTAAAAGAATTTTGTTTCACTCATTTACATGTGGCAAACTGCTAGCACTAACAGGAATGGTAGAATATGGTAGCAGGACTGCATGACTGTTGGGTGAGCTGGTATAGACAGAAGAAAATACAACAAAAAAATGTGTATCGCATTCGTGCAGTAAAGATTTTTTATTTTTTCTTCTGTAGTGTCGTTTGAATGTAACATTGTTAAAGAGCCCGTTACACGAAAGTTCCGGTCGTTGGAAGTGGTGTTGTCGGTTGTGAGAAAAAAATCTGCGTTTTCCATGAGCGAAAATTTGAGATAGATGCAAATAAATGAAAATCTAAAATGTTCGGTCCAAGTGATAATTAAACCCAGGCTTTTTGCACGGCTTGCAAGTGTTCTACCATGGAGTCATGCCAGCACTTGGAACATCTTTGTTAAATAATGTCATCTAGTCAAAGGAGTCATCTCAACGCATGTAATACTGCATGTCAGAATCGTAGATTCCTACCAGGCATCAAAACATATGAATTGCACTATGAGCAAGTGGTTTAAAGCTGCCCATGCATTAAAAAGTGCATAGCTGCATAGGTGCACGTGGCACCTTACAGATGCGTAGTGGGTACATCAGCAATTCATAAATGAAAGTATATATGCGTAGTTGCGCTTCACATCTTTACTTGCAGTAAGCATTTTAGGTTAGTTTAAAATGGCCAATGTTTTGTGCATAACAGTTCCCTTCCTCGTGCCACAGTTGAAAGCGATGCACACCGGGCCCCATTAAAAGCACAGCTCAAGCACTTTTCAATTTTTTCTTAATATTTTATGTTAGAAGCTATTTCTCTGAACTTTTTATGCGTGTGCATACATTTGATTTCCTTTTGTAGTAGCAACCTATGGTCTCCGAATGCAAAGACTTCTAACATTATATATTCCATCACCACAGCTAAATGCCTAATGCAAAATCCCATTCATGCAAAGAGTTACATATTCCTGCAATATCTGCCTGAACAATTTCTTTCTCCTTATCTCTTTAGACACAGTTGTAAATGGGACAATCACTGGCACAAGCTTGGGAACCAGAAAAAAGCTTGACCCTAAGACCGCTTATAGGACAGAAGTGCACTGGTTGTTAGAAACAGGATTGCTTCATTGGTGTACATGCATTCTCCTTTCACAGATGAGTACGGGATGCCCGTGAAAAAAAGCCGCCAAAAGTTTTCGCGAGGACGAGCTGTCTCTCGAGGACCCCTGATGAATTGGTCCAAAATCATTCCTCCACCGCCCTGAGAAGCCGCCCAGTGAAGGAGGTTCTCAGCTAAATACTCCTGCGTCTCTCAGAAGGACATCGCCTCTTGACGGGCAACCCAACAGAGCGTGAGTGTTGCCTATAAATCTCTCCTCAAGAATTTCCAAATATAGTTAGACATCTTCTTGTTAATTTTTCTATATTTTGTTTTTTGCATTAGCCCTGTGTGCACAGTTAATTTTTTCGAAATAAAACCGACTATAGCAAACAGCTCTGTCAAGATAAGCACTTGTACAACAACATAAATTGTCAAAAATACCACAAAAGAGGTAAAATATTTGTTAGCCAAAAAATTTCATCTAAAATGCAACTACCTAATATTATACGTACACTATACGTAGACGTATATGTAGATATCTTATTAGAAATTTTCACAGATATATGAATTCATCATAAACAAGGACGTAATTGCAGTAATACATAAAGTATTTACAGTGCTAATATAACAGATAGTCTTCAGACTTTTATTTTTGCTACCTGTGATTTATAATTTTTGTCTGTACATCTTGTGACAAAGCCTAATCGAGCATAAAAAGTAAGTGTCATGGCGATATTACCACACAAATGAACATGAAGTTTGATATATTGAGAAAACTAACAATTGAAGAATTTTTAACTAACTAGGCAGATGTAGTTGTAAACCACAAAGTGAAAATGAAGAACAGATTGTTCTATAACAAGTGGAATAAAAACAACAAAGGAGAGAACTGGGTCAACCTCAAAAGCTTTTAATATAGCAAATCAACATTTCATAATGACAATCTTCTTGCTTATATAGAAACATCTTTCTCACCATACTTGTAGGCAGTGCTGAAGCTGAGGTTGTAGCAAAAGTTTTATTCAGTGTCTTAGTACGGATCAGTATATTTATACATAAACAAGGTATATGTGTACATTTGTTCTTCAAACAAAGCGTATATCAGAAATGTTCTAAAAAAAGCCATGTTCTAAATGTTATACACACTTTCATTTAGAACTTTCAGCGTAAAAATTACTTTTTAAATCAGTATCTATTTTTTTATGCCAATTCAAATTCAACTTTTAAAACAAACACATAAAAAAGTAGCTAATTTTCAAATTAAAAAGCCGAAATTTAACTCTCCTTCTTAGCCATGTTTCTCCATACCTGCCTATTGATATAATTGTGCACCAAGTTAAACTCGTCTTGAAGGATAAAGCAAAAATTTTATGGCTCACTTTTTATTTCAGTTTATAAGCGGAGTACATTAACTAGGGGCGTGCCAATATTAAAAACTCGGAATAGTTTTTTTTAATATTGTTTGTTATTCTATTTGATTTGCACTGGAAGTTTAAGCTTCCTGATGACAAATACTGTCGGTGGTTGATTTACAGTCGTCCCTTCGAACTTTTATTATGCTTTGCCTTTTCACAGTTATGTATTAAGGTAAAGCTGCCTTTCATGTGCTGCTACGGTCGCAAATGTACTTACTCAAGAAAACGCAGATTCCAACATGGAGATGGCCCCTTCAAATTTTCAATAGGCTTCGCCCCATCACAGTCATAATGCAGTCTGTCTTTCAGGCTCTGCTATGATGGCAAATGTGTGGACTCGAGGAAATGCTGTTTCCAACACAGACAGGACAGATGTGACACAAGCGGAGACCCAATGCTGTTTTCGGCAGGCAGTCCGAAAAATTGGACCCCTAAGACTATAAACATTCAAAATTTCAGATGTTTATATTGAGATCTGTGAGGCAGAAATGGAACTCTGCACTCGAAAGCACCGCACCCGTGTCCACCGCATCAGTTGGGCTTCCTCAGAAGTTGAAGAAGAGAAGAGGCTGGGGAATCAGCATCGTTGCTGTGTAAAGGGTTGTTGGTAACGCTTTGATTGCACCAAAACGTGTGCACAAATACAATTCGACCTCTGCATTGCCCCATTCAGGATATAACAACTGTTAAACACCACCTTTTCAGTGCTTCATACTTAGCCTAAAGAAAATACTTTCATGCTTAGGGGTCCCATCCATCTTTTGTTTTTCTGCAATGTCCCTTTGAATTATTTGAAAAACATTACAGGAATATTTAAAGAATATTTAAAAAATATTCCATTCGATTCACACTCACACTTCAATATTTGAATTTGCTTCACACCCGGAATATTGCTATTCACACAGCTCTAACTTTAACTTTCTTTTTAGGTTATGTGACGATTGCAGTTGTGCTGCCTGTTTGTTTGTACAGTTACAATTCATTTTCACCCTAAACTCTGTACTGTCTCGAACAAAGAGTGTTTCTTTCTAATTACTGAACTCGCAATTGGGAACATGAAGAAATATACAGGAGACGAGACACTGTTGCATGCTCAGTCAGGGAGCTAAAAGACTACCCGTGCAGGCTAGTATTCCATCTACAGTAGAATGAACTCGATGTATTTTATCTCCTGCACTACAAAGTCAATTTCTATGTATTCATCTCGCATCCACATACCAGATGAAGCCAAAATCAGACAAAGATCTAGCCCTATATTTAACTACACTGCTTGTTTTTCACATCATGATGCAAGAAATGCATACACTGCACACCTGCATTTTAAGCACTCTATAAGAATGAGCACTGGCACATTCAGTTGGCCATATTTCATTCAGTTTTGCTCAAAAGATGAAATGCACATGTAAAATAAAGAGGGGTAATAAACATATTAGAGGTAGAAAGAATGCTATCTCATTTTCACAAAGTTCATTAGTTTTTCAATGTAAACAATTTATTAAAATGAATTCACTCTGGTCATAAAATGTCAGATTTCTGATGAAAGCTTGAGCTTAGAAAAAAGGAGGGGTGGGGGGCTCGTTGATGGTTTGTTTTGCAACATATTCTCAGTGAAAGTAACAGCAACGAAATAAATGGCCAAATGAGCTTGTTTGCTAGTTGCACTTGGCAAATTGCACGTCAGTCTTAGGCTGGGCCTTTTTCAAAATGATTCCGCAGAGGTCCTTTAATGCGACATTTATTATTTGTCTGTCTTTCCAGTTCCAGCCCAGTGGAGCACAGCTATCCAACAATTTGAGGGCAGTGCAAGTACTGCCCCGATTCCCAGCATCGTTACCTAAGATTTCCCCAAATCAGTCCAGCAACAGCCTAGGGAGCTCCTATGCAGGCCCCTACCAAGAGGGTGCTCCATTCCTGCCCAGAGAAAATAGGCCCCTCTCGAAGACCATGCAGCCACAGCACATACAGCAGCCGCAAGAGCAGATATTTGGCAACCCTTTTATAGACCGAGGAGTACAGTCGTCACTGCCATCACTCGTCAGCGAGCGCACATCCTTCAACGCTGCCATGGCGCCATCAGGTCCACGGCTGGCCACACTTCAAGGTCAGTATTGTCACTTGATATTCACTAAAGCTGTTAACTGTAAAGTACTGTATCAGTGTGGTGGTTTGGGCTAGTTAGTATGACATGAGGATAGTTATAGCTTGAGAGCTTCATGTCCCTTTGTCGTCCTTCTGCTCTCACGCCGTAACTATCGACTGTATCAGTGTCTATATAAAAAGCAGAATTGAGATCGACTACTTAAAGCTGCAGATTAGGTTGTTTTTCCTAATGTGTTACATGAAAAAGCACACCTTACCCCACACAGTTCATGTATGCCAAATATTAAACAGCAAGTGCTTCAGTCGAATTATTCTTTAAGGAGATCAGTTTTAATGAACACATAAGAAAGAAGCCTGTCTCCTCTGACCTCGGGCACTGTTCTTGCCAGGACACATCTACCAGCCAACAGATGCAGGATCTGATATGGAAGATGCATCGCAGCCACAGTCGTGCGAGTCCAGTGTTGCAGGAGACACAGATTACGCACCAAGTCACAGTAAGCAACATATATTTGTAATGCAGTCTGTAAGGACTATTGCCCATTCCTCAAAGAGATGCGTTCGTGCCAAGGCAGATCACACCGAATTTTTTGTTTGAATGTATTTCCAGCACTATTTTGAGAAAGACTATGCCAGCTGTCGAAGTCAAATGAAATGTACAATATGTACAGCCGCGTCGACTTCTGTGTAGAGCACGTGAGGAGCCGATTTTTGCTATGCGGGGAGAAACCTTGAGGCAGTTTTGGGCTCTGAAGTGCTGTATCAGAAGCATGTGTAGCCTAGCTGTCAGGCTGACCACATCATAGCCCGGGACTCGCTCTCTAGATTTCGTACCAACCGGTTGTGCCCCCGCGATCTCTGGTGACAGCGCAGCTCTAGCCGACTCGCTCGCCCTACGACATCTCCTGCCGCCGACAAGAGCTCTCGCCGAGTCGTGCTCCATCCTCGAACTCCTGCGACCGTGTCCATCTTTTCTATCTCCTCTTTACTTCCCTTGTTTTCTGTCGTTTGCTGTCCCTGCACCTCTCTCTTTCCTTCCTCTATCTATTTACCTTTTAATCCTATCCTTTAATCTCTCCTTACCCCCCTTCCTCATGAGCTACTGTTGAGGGGTCGCACTCTGATGCAGTCAGTTATGGGGCTCACTTTTCTGTTCTTTTCTCTTTAAGAATCACATAAGAGCCCGAAACTGCCTCGAGGTTTCGCCCTGCGAAGCGGCTCCTCACGTGCTCTACACAGACAGGGCCACGGGTGCACACTCGCAAGACAGTATGAAATTTTAGTACATGATTGATTGATTTGTGGGGTTTAGCGTCCCAAAACCACCATATGATTATGAGAGACGCCGTAGTGAAGGGCTCCGGAAATTTTGACCACCTGGGGTTCTTTAACGTGCACCCAAATCTGAGCACACGGGCCTACGACATTTCCGCCTCCATCGGAAATGCAGCCGCCGCTGCCGGGATTTGAACCCGCGACCTGCGGGTCAGCAGCCGAGTACCTTAGCCACTAGACCACCGCGGCGGGGCGAAATTTTAGTACAGCACTGGACTTCGAAAATTCTGGCAGAATCTATCTCAGGATGAATGTCGACATTAAATGCAAATAAAATTGAAGGAAGGTACTGGCGCAATGTACCGCAGAATTCTTTACTTCTGTATAGCTAACTTCTTCCATTATTTCGAATCAAGGGTTTCACAAAAACTTGTCTGGTCGAAAATGCTCGTGGTCAAATTTAAAAGGAATTTGCCGACGGAGTGTAAAAATAAACCTTAAAGTGAAGCATGTTTTAAATTCCGTATAGGGGCTTCATTCACAGTGACCTTTTGAAGGCAGATAAATGAGTGATCTTGGAAATGTAGCGGCGAATTTGTCACAATAACTTGGCCATGCGCTTGGCAAGGATTAATGAAATAAAAAAAAATTATCAAAGACTCGTCAGGTCATAAATGCTCAAAATTAAACTTAAAAGGAATAATTCAATAAAAATAAAAAAGTACTGTTTACATTAAAGACGTTTCAGCTCCCATATGAGGACCTTGTTCGCAATGATCGAGTTGATTGTGATTAAGACCCCTATACAAGAGCTGAAATGTCTTTCATTTTAAAGTTACTTTATATTTAGCTAGTATATTTTTTTTTACTTTAGGCTTTCTTTGATTTTCTGTCAATTGCATTTTGTTTTTTGAGCAGTTCTTTCACTTCAATTCAGCTTGATCAGTGCATGTTTCACTCACATGCTCCAGTCCAATTTCGTTGTTCACCTCACACACCCCTTATATTTCAGCTGCTTGTTTCTGCCCTTTGAGAAGGTTATATAATTGCATTAAACAAACTGAATTTTGCTATTTGTATAATACAATATCACACTCTATGCGGCTGTCGTGCAGCACTGTCCTGGGCCAGCACGACAGAGCCGAGCAACAGCTCTTGCACAAGTGGCTGCTCGAGCGGGGCAAGTTCCTACGACGACTCTGTCTACAATGAAGGGGACTTTGCGAGTGCAGTGATGCGAGCAGCTCAAAATGCTGGCTTCCAAGTCAATGGGTCTGTCATTTCTACAGCACCTGCATCTACCGCACAAGGTCAGTTGCTCTCACACATTTCATGTGCACATTTAATACGAGGTAATCTACCTGCTGTTCAAAATTGAGCTTGGTGGTTTTCTTCAGATTCAGCACTAGGAGGTACGTGAACACCACCTATGTATATAAGTTATGTATACAAGAGGACACACAGTGATGCAATAATTATTGCTGTGAGCCACCCAACCAACTAAGATTGAAAGATAAGATTTTTAGTGACTCCAGTAAGCAGAAATGTTTGTGTTGAAAAGTTGTAAGCAGTTGTATTTCTACACAGTTCCACGTGGAAGAATTCTTCTGGCATGTCTATGCTCTTAGATATCCTGTGACATGATAGCATCATTACGCAAGCAAGGCAGTGAGGATCGGCGGCACGTTGTTTCTCTCTGACATGACACATGTTCCTCTTGCCAGTGGGTAGTCAGAGCTAACCGTTTTCATCATTGCTTATGCTTTTTACCCTTTGCCAGACCAAGATGCTGCATGCAACTTCAATGACACATAGGGAGGAACTTTGTGCCAATTTTCACTGTCCTGCATGTGTAAACATCTGAAATGTAGTTAAACCTGGCAGAAGTGTGACTGCCTCCAACTTTTCTCCACAAACATGCCCTCCTACTGTAATCGTTAAAAAGTTGATTCGACAATCTTTCTTACTTGGTGGACAAACAGCGATATAGTTATCAGCCCACTGTGTACCACAACCTTATTGAAAACCAACAGATAATGAAGCCAAGGAAAATACAGGGCATGTTAATTGAACTGTCTTACCTGTATTGTAGTAAATATGATATAAAGGTGAACAAAGTAAAATGGATAAAAAGTGAACTTGCCATCTGGACAGGACTGAACCTTAACCTTCGCGTAATGTGCCTAATTATTTATCGATTGAGCTGCAGCAGCAGTTGTTCTTTAATTCCTTCTATCTGGTGCTTCTATGCATGCAAACGTGAGAGTATTAGTCAGCGCCAGTCGTAGCCACGATGACGAGTGTGAAACTTCTCTCCTTTTTTCTTGCTAGCGGGCACCAAGTAGTGTGTGATCCTTTAATGAGTACACAACTGACCAATAAGCTCTTGCATACAACCTGGAGGCATCAAGTCTGCCGGAACGCGACCCTCTCTATGAATGAATGAAATAACAATGTCACGGGGTCGTGACGTGGATGAAGGGAGCAGACTGCAGGTCGGATAATAAACTGTTTATTTGGGTGAACCTGTGCCCAGTAAAGGGAAAGTCGGATTACAGTAGCAGTCTTGTACTGATAGCGACGAACGGAGCAACAGCCGTCGATCAACTGACAAGCGGCGAAACGTGTTCGCATTTATACTCTTGGCATCGAATATTCTAACGTTATCGCTAGCGGGAACGTAGCTTCTAGAATAATCTGTAATGTTCACGAAGTGGGTGTTATCTTAACAAAATGATCTACTACTTCCTCGAAGCTTCTCAAACATTGTAGGCGTGGTTCGCACTGAACGTAGTGAAACGGGGCGATAAAACATGAAGAAAAGAACGTGGCATTGCGCCCCTCTGAAAAAGACATCGTCCCGATGCTTTAACGAAAGACGAAGGTACAATATTAGAGACAATAAACAGCAAGTACAAGCGATAAAGCACAGCAACAACAACAAAATACAGTCTTCAGTTTTGCGCATGAAATGGCTTGAGGCGCACGACATGGACAACATTCGGTCGAGCACGGTGCCGTTGATAGTTCGTAATGCCGTCTAGAACAACGTCGTAGTCGAGTTGGCCAAGACGTCAACCTACTTTGTACGGTCCTAAGTACTGACGCAGAAGTTTTTAACTGAGCCCACGTCGGCATATCGGCGTCCATACCCAGACACGGTCCCCGGGCTGGTACTCCACGAAGCTTCGTCAAAAATTGTAATGGTGGCTATTGGTCTAATGGTCTAATGGTGGTTATTCTTGATGCACAGGCAGGCGAGTAGATGTGTTTCTTCAGCGCGCTGAAGGTAGGCAGTGACATCGAGGTTCTCTTCGGCAGCGACGTTTTGAAGCATAGCATCGAGCGTCGTTGCCGGGCTCTTTCCATAGACCAACTTGTACGGCATGATCTGCGTCGTTTCTTAGACGACCGTATTTTGCGCGAAGGTCACGTATGCAAGGATTTCACCCCATGTCTTGTGCTCGACGTCGACGTACATGGCAAGCAAATCAGCGACGGTCTTATTAAGACGTTCAGTGAGGCCGTTGGTCTGTGAATGGTAGGCAGTGGTCCGGCGGTCACTTGTCTGGCTGTACCTCAGGGTCGCCTGAGTTAGGTTTGCCGTAAAGGTCGTCTCTCTATCAGTAATGAGGACCTGTGGGGTTCCGTGACACAGGACAATGTTCTCGATGAAGAACCTTGCTACCTTGGAGGCACTCCCTTGGGCAGGGCCTTTCTCGGCGTAGTGAGTGAATTAGTCAGTAGCTACGACAATTTATTTGTTCCTAGAATTCGACATCTGGAACGGTCCCAGTAAGTTCATTCCAATTAGCTGGAACGGCCGGTGAGGTGGCTCGGTGGGCTGGAGATGTCCGGCTGGCCTAGTCATTGGTGTTTTTCGTCGCTGACAGTCGCAGCAGGTCCTGACGTAACGAGTGACGTCCGTGGCAAGCTGTGGCCAGTAGTAATTTTCTTGCATTCTTGCGAGCATGCGGGAAACACCGAGGTGTCTAGCCATCGAATCCTCGCGATCTTACTTCTGAAGGAACCGCGAGAAGGCGGTCGGCTCGAAGGAGCGAAAAGTTCGTCTTTGAGAGAATTCTGTTTTGCAAGAAGAACGACTCCAGTCCTCTCTTGAAAACATTCGAGACAGTTGTGCTGTTACCCTCAAGATAATCCACAAGGTTTCTGAGTTCTGGGTCACCTCGCTGTTGCTTGGCGAAGTCGTCGGCAGTTATCGTTCCTAAGAAGCTGTTCTCATCCAGGCCGTTGTCGGGCAGTGGTAGTTTGACGGGGGCGCGAGACAAGAAGTCAACGTCAGAGTGTTTTCTTCCAGACTTGTAAACGACGGTCACGTCGAATTCTTGAAGTTTGAGGCTCCACGGAGTGAGGCAACCGAAGGGTCTTTCAAGCTGGCTAACCAACACAAGGCGTAGTGGTTGCTCACAACTTTGAAAGGACTGCCGTAGAAGTAGGGGCACGGAGGAAGAAAAGGTGGGTAGGGGCGAAACTTTGCCGCTGCCCAGATGATGACAAGGCACTCTTTTTCTGTAGTGGAATAGTTGGCTTCGGCTTTGGATAGCGACAGGCTAGCATAATTTATAACCCTTTCCACGCCATCAGTCATTTGCATAAAAACGGCTACAAGTCCTACACTGCTTGCGTCGGTGTGTACTTCTGTTTCGGTGTATTTTTCGAAATGCGCAAGTGTCGGTGGTGTCTGAAGGCGTCGGTCAAGTTCCTGAAATGCTTTCTCTTGTGCCGCTTAATTCCCACCTGAATTCGACATTGCTTTTCGTGAGGTTAGTTAGCGGCTCGGCTATCTGCGAAAAACGTTTGACGAAACACCTGTAATAGGCGCACAAACCGAGGAATTGGCGTACAGCCTTCTTGTCAGTGGGCTTCAGGAAATTAGCGGTGGCAGCTGTTTTTCGCGGATCAGGACGGACTCCAGACTTGGTAATGACGTGTCCCGGGAACAACAGTTCCTCGTACACGAAGCGGCACTTTTCTGGCTCCATGTTTTGTTCAGAGGTGTTGATTGCTTGAAGTATCACTTCAAGGCACTGAAGAAGCTCGTCAAAGGTGGACGAAAACACGACAACGTCATCCAAGTAGACGAAACAAGTCTGCCATTTCAATCCAGCCAGGCGGTGTTCATATCGCGCTGTAATGTCGCAAGTGCCGAGCAAGGACCAAATGGCATGAAGAGGCCGTCTGGTGTGACTAAGGCCATCTTCTCTCGATCCCCTTCGTCAACCTCAATTTGCCAATAGCCAATTTTGAGGTCCATCGAGGAAAGGTACTTCACATTGTAGAGTCGGTCCAATACGTCGTCTATACGTGGAAGAGGGTACACATCCTTCTTTGTGATTTTGTTCAGGCGGCAGTAATTGACCCAAAAATGTAGGGTCCTATCCTTCTTCTCCACTAATACCATGGGTGACGCCCACGGGCTCCTGGATGACTGAATGATGGCGTCGCGTAGCATTTCGTTCACTTGTTTCTTCACGGCGTAGCGTTCGCACATCAATACTTGGTACGGGCTTTGTCGAACTGGTCGGGCATTTTCTTCTGTTATGATGCGATATTTCGTGACTAGAGTTTGTCGAATTCACGATGATGAAGAGAAGAAGTTCTTGAATTGCAAGAGCAGGGACTTGAGCTAATCTTGCTTGCACCCCGAAAGGCTCGGGTTGACATCGAAATCTGGTTCGAGACCTCGGTTCGTCGAAGCAGCATCGGCAGCATCGAAGAGGTAGAATGAATTGCTGGCTTGCACGAATTCATCTATGTAGGCGACCGTCGTACCATGGTTGATGTGCCTGTATTTCTGACTGAAGTTTGTCAGCGCCAGCTGCCATCATGCAGCTCAGCTATGCCTCTTGCAACGCAAATGGTGAGGAGAAGGTGCTGATCGCCCTTGATGATGCCTTCAAGGTTTTCGGCTTTTTCGGTGCCAACAGAATTGACGACACGCTGGAGAAAGGCGGCACGGTGACCTGTTTTTCTAGCACATTAAATGCTTGATTCCTTGGCGTTGTAGTGGTCGGCAGCGTGTTTGGCGAAATTAGTGTGATTCACTTGGATTTCAGGTAAATGACAGCGACGTGTACTTAGAAAGTCTATTTCAAGTATGACATCCCTGGAGCAATTTTGTAAGATCACAAAGCTCGCAGGACAAGTCTGGTTATTGATGGTGACTCTGGCTGTGCATACTCCAGTCGACGTTATTAAGTGGCCTCCAGCAGTCCGGATTTCAGGGCCTCGCCAAGCAGTCTTCACTTTTTTCATCGCCAAAGACCCACTGATGACGGAATAGTCAGCT